ACAACAACAAAATAGAAATCCATGTTCGTTTAGATTGGGCACACGCAAAATTGCTACAACTGAATTTTTGAATGCCAAAGTTGATTCATGAAAAATCGTTGTCCACCGTGACACTTCGAACCTGTTAAAACACTGGTTTACGCGACCGCTAATTACCCTCACCTCGGCGGATTATCACGCGGAATGGTCGGTCGTTTTGGACATATCGATGCCTCGTGAGTGCACTAGAGGGCGTCAGTCAGATGCCTCGTTCGTGTGCGCGTTCCCTGTCAGGACGAATAATTGACTATAGAATGGATTCCTGTGACTGCGATACGTCAAACTGACAGGTCCAGGGGCGTGCGTCGAGGGCCCCGGAGCGGCCAGGTCCTTCGATATTAAACCTTCGACCCCAACGGTCCCTACGCTCGGCTAATTCGTGACGATTTTATAAAGGCGTTCGGCTCTCCCCTCTCGTTCTCTCTTCCCCTTGCTCGCGTCGAAACGGGGGCGAGACAAATGAACGTCAACGAGACGCGAATTTCCTCCCTCTCGAATTAGCATAAGATCAGTTCCGGCCGCGGGCATATCCCCCCCCCCCCCCCCCCGCCGACGTGGGCTACGCGATCAAACGAGTCGAGAAAAATTACATCGAGTATGCAGCAGGACACGATCGAGGTCTCGAATCCGCAATTTCACCCCACGATTGGATCCAGACTGCTCGTCGTTTGCACCGTGTTCCGTAAACGACGTGCCAGCCCGTCTGCTCCACGATCATTGCCCGACTACGCCCCTTACGCATCGACACTCGCCTCGACTCGACTCGAAATAGCTACGGGATATCGCTCGGTGTATCTTTGGACCAGACTCCATTCACACTCCCGAACTCCACGCTACTCGCGCGCTGTTGGGATCTTGCCCGAGTCTCATTCTTCTTGCCCCCGAGCCACCTCGCCTGCCGGCCCCCCCCCCCCCTCTCTCTCTCTCTCTCTCACTCTCTCTCTCTCCCCGCTCGGCCGACCTGCTCCTTTTATTGGCTTGGCTTGTCTGTCAGGTCTGTCTGACTGTTGCCTCCTTCGTTTCCGACGTCGAGAGTAAATTGCGTTCCCAAACAGTCCGTGTGTTTTCGAGAATCGACAGACCCCCTTTGCGAAAAGGAAACCGAGGACGGGTCATCGTGCGGTATTTCAGGCTTTCGACGTATGGCTGCGCATACGGTTCGTGCACCGCTACAGGCTTCCGGGCTGCTGGAACCTACATGAAAATTCATGAGATAGATCGAGTACATACGCTACCGCTCAAAAGTATCCAGACACTTGCGAAATACATACGTATTAGCATTGCATAAAAGTTATTTAACCCCTTGACCTACACGTTATATTCCGATTGCTCGGCAAGATAGAAAATCTGAACAAAGTACCATGTGTCAGACTCGTGTTTATTGTTTATTAACGAAATTCCTTACCACGAGTCTCACTGAACGAAAAGTTCAGTGTCGGGCATCAATAATAGACCTGGCACTCAACGTGTTAATAAGAAAAGTGCAAAGAACGATTGGTAGACGATAGCGAGAGGAATTAGAAAGGTGTTCCGGTAACACGGCTTACACCCAGAAGCCACAGACGGTATCAACCGTAAGACCGAGTAAGGGTTCGTCGAAAAGTCGAAGGTTGGAAGGAAAGTCTGGCATGGTCGAGTTTTTAACCCCCACGTGGCTGAGCAGCCCTCCTCGTTACGGTGCGGCCGTGTGACGTGACGTGCCGTCTCGTCGGGGGCGACGGTCATTGGCGCGTTCAGCCCTTCCGACACGCGACACTGACGACAACGCCGAGCCAACTCGAAATATTACGACGCCGGTTAGGCTCATTATGGATGGATGGCTATCGATGGACGCGACGCGTCGTCGTCATCGCTGACACCCCACCGCGGGAGACAACCGGTAAATTCCCTCGTCGACGAGCTTCGAATACGTCCGTCTGACGGATACCGCGAAAACGGCAGAGGCGTGGACGAGTCTTTCCACCGAGTCCACTCTGTGTGTCGAATTTCAGTCGATAGCAAATGTTAGTTTAAACGACAGCAATCGGTAGAAAGAAAATTATAGTAGCTTGCGACCTTATAAAGAAACTCTATGAACCGATATGCCAGTCTTTCGATGCTAAAACGTTCCCCCCACTTTTCAGCATCCCTATCAACGATGAAAATTCGTGTCCCCTGCCCTGACACGATTATCGGCGATTTCTCCACGCGCGATGAATCGAAATACCGGCCGGGGGCGCGGTCGTAATCGAATTTTTCCCCGAGATCCCCGGCTGCCAGAAGTCGATCTCCCGATCATAAATCTGACGGCTGGAAATTGCTTCGCAACGTTTCGATCCGGAGAAAGAGGACGATTTGTCCTATCCCAGCCAGGAGACGACGATTCCCCGGCGAAGAATAATCCGGGAATAAATTCTCACCCGATCGCACGCTCCATTCCTCCCCGACCCGGCCTGTTCTTCTCGCCCAGGTCGTTTCCTCCCTTTTGGCGTACGCCACGTATCCCCCGTCGCGGAGGAAAATCTCGGTTAACGCCCGAGACACGTTTGAAATGTTCTTTAAGGTAGTTGTTTAGAAATAGTCACGTTCAAAAGTCGAAATTCGTCTAGAATTGCAAGCTTTTGCAAAAATACATCCTTACTGTTCTCACACACGAGAAATGATTATGACAACAACGCGTATCTGTCTGATACACTCGCAACTTCTCTACGTTTACTTTTAGATTTTAATGTTTTTAAATAGAAATATTAATATTTCTTCATACAGAATCAGCCTGTTTTCGCTGGTACCACCAGGTACCACCAGACACCCTGTACATGGCCTATCCATTTACAATTTTCTATCGAACAAAATTATTTCTTATCGTTAAATATCCAATAAAAGAGCCTGTAAGTTTCATCAAGATCCGCCTGATACATTATTCCTAAAAAAATTTGTAAAAAAATGGCTAATTTTCAGCCTAAACGGCGCCGCTTTCAGCCACTTGGTACGTGGCGAGGCGTCACTGTATCGACGAACCGAGGGTTGTCGGATAAAACGACTGCACCGAGCCTGCGATTGGCGGGCCAGCCTAACCACCCTCGCAATTCAGCGAAGGGTGTCGGGGCTCGTTTCGGGGCACACATATGTGCACTTGTTCGCGCGTCCCTTCTTCAACCAACGCGGCCGAAAACCACCTCGTACAAAAGAAACGACTCCGTCTCTCACCCTCTGTTCTTTCGCCATCTAATATTTCGGGACTAATCCGCTGGATACACACACTGTCCCGTATAACTTTATCGGATGAAATGTTTCCGACGATTTCGGGGAGGAACGTCTGCGTTGGTGAACGTGCTTTCATTACCCTCGGAGACGTCCACGAGACGTTTAATGGTCTCTTTGTTCCTTCTTCGACGGGACTGCAAGTTTCTTGTATAGGCGTGCATGTGTGTTGGAATCGTATATCGTTTGCGGCTGTAGCACTGGTTCTTTACTCGAGCTCTGTAAATAGATTTCTGAAGGATATACTTACCAAGAGAAGGTGTCGATGTGAAATTAAAAATCTATTTCTGATTACTCTATAACTGCTGTTGTTTCTGTGCCATCGGGATGAATTTGAATTTTTCGGAGGTTGCTCTTGATTCTCTGACGAAAACCATAGGCTAGTTAATTTGTGAAAATATTTACTGTAATTATTATTAAATAATACTCGGATGTATATGGTAATAGCGTAGGTTAAGAAATGTGAAGAAATTTTCATGTCAGAGTCTTTTAATTAAACCAAGATAATAAGCAACGTCGATATTAGTCAACTGCATACAAGGATCACCACTAGAGAAGTAAGAAGTGGCTCTTCACTCCAAGATAGAACATAGCTACCAGATCCAAGGGTAAACGACTTAACCGGAAGCGCCAAGTTTGAAATTCCAAGGGTCCCGTAATAAGGCCAAGGGTCTTAAGTTTGTTTCGCGTAGAAACAACGGCTGATTGCGAGTTAAAACTGACGACGTAGGATTAAGAGTTTAGCTGCGATTAAATCGAGTTGGATGCGACAAGAAAACTCTTGGCTGAGAATAATCGCTCTACTGTATACCGTGCGTCGTAGATCGGTGAGCAACGCCAGATAGATCATATTCAATTTCTCGTTTGGCAGAGGAAGCGTTGGGGTTGCAAATGTTAATCGTTTATGTATAGTCGACGTACGTATGCGTTGAAGAGTGATGACTGACAATAAGTAATTCGGCTAACGTACGTACCGAATAATAAGGGATTCAAGATGGCGTCTGAAAAGTACCGCGCGAATCAGAACGCGAATGCCAGGGAAAGAAGGATACATATCGAGAGTCATGACCTGCACGGCTGTATGGGATAGGTTGGACCGAGATCCGTGATAGCGAGGCACCATTGTTGTCAAGCTTTGCAATTAATAGCCTGTGGTCCACGGTATCGAACCAACGTGTATCAAAGGCGTAAAGACTGCGATGCGCGCGAAATAGAACGGATGCTGATCATCTCGTGCTCTAGACTCATCTGAAATCTGGGAAAAAATGTTGGATAGACATCTGGGCTGAACTTTATTTCGAGCCACTAAAAATTGTAAATTATGAATTCTAGGCATGTGTCAATAGTTTTTAGTGCCCCGAAGTAAAGTTTAACCATCCGAATCAATTTTCCATTATAAATATGTACACGAGTAAACTTGACAGATGTCTATCGATTTACGATTACGACTTTATTTCGAAACATAAAGCAATATAGAGGGTAACGAATACTTGTGGGACTGACTGTAGGCCAGCAAATGGTTAAACCGTCAACAAATTACCACGAAACCAAAGATACGACACCGAAGAACTTTCGAAAAATTCCCCTAGGTAATAATTGCCGATCGAAGCGACCGATCCGATGGTAAAGCAAGAGTAATACCGGATATGGAACGAAAAAGGCTCGATTACGGCATTCAGCGATCGTCGATCGAGTAAACACAGACACGTTTAGGTGCGGGAGCTGGTGGTGATGGTGTGTTTGGGTTGGTGGAGGGGGCAGGGAGGAGGGAGGGAGGGAGGGTCTCTCTGTATAACGATGATCGCGTAAGTAATATCGGCTGCAATGTGGTTTCAGAGTCGTCGACTCGTCCGCAAAAAAAGCATTTGGCGAAAAGTCGAAGGAGGCGGCGGTGAGGCGCGCCGATCGAATCCCCTTGCTCGGTTCGTGCAACTTGCCCCCGGAGTTAATTTAACTTTCGCGATTCCGCCAATCGCGTACTCGCGCAGCAAGCTAGCGCCCGAGGTGGTGGCTCCTGTGAAACGGCCGGTAGAGAAACGTGATGTGCACGTACACCTCGAAGGAAGAGGATGCTACGTGCGCCCCGTTGCAGGCTAACCCCAAGGCCGAAGGGTGCGAGGCCACGAGAGAGCTCAATATATATTAAGATCCGCGAACCCTCCGCTAGACTGAAAGTTCGTCCACCCCACGCAACCCCCTAAGTCTTCCCATGTACCCTCCGCCCTCCACGGCCGAGACTACACCATCGGAATTGCGATTATGGTGGCAATATTACGGCCAACCAAGAGAGAGACGAGGAGTAGGTTTGGTCGCTGATGGGACCACGCATACGTGAGGATAAGAAAGAGACGCGGCGGCGTCGTTTGGAGGACAGTGGTGCGCGCAATCTCCTACTGGGGCTAAAGGAAATCATTATTGTGGTGAAAGTTTTGGAATCAGCCAGTAGGATAGTTGAAAAGAATAGGATGTAAATGGGCTACTCTTCTTTTCTTTGAAAATCTATAAGAGATTCAATTTATGGGAAAGATTCTTTGAGGATGATTGATCGATTAGTTTATTTCGGAGCATTGTGTCTGAACGTGGACCATGACAAGCGTCCAACACACTAGAAATAACAACGTCACACAAACATACATTCGTTAAGATTGAAAAATTACACGGTCGTGCTCAACGTACAAGTGTTTTAATTTTCTCCTTATTTTATATCGAGGGAGCTATAAACTCGATGAAAGACTTTTGCGCACCACTGTTTCTACCCTCTAGTTGGTGTCTTCTCGGCCATCCTTGTTCGGTCGCGGAGCTTATTGGCTTTATTTCGAAACCGGCGGTTCATATCTATTTACTGGCGCGGCTGATCCGCGAGGAAATATAGAAAACAACCAGCGGCTCGAGCAGACGAGACTGTTCGTTCCGTCTACCCGGGCTGTGCGGGCCGGGGATGCTCGCGTTTCCGACAAATCGATAGCTTAATGCCTCGTTCGTGTAACGCGTTACACTTTATTGCCGTGGACTGGATTTCGTGGTTTTCCGGGAACAAGACCGCGGAATCCATCGATTGACGGAACAACTACGCGGGACGCGGCTTTTTTCTCCCATTCGTCGGTTTCTTTACATCGGGTCAACGTTCCACGCGGCATTCTTCTACGAGCAATTTGAAATTACCACTGGTAGCCCGTACAATGTTTGCTGACTTGTCGACAACCAAACAATATCGATTAATAATGGCTTTATTACAGATGGCTTCTTTTCGTCTGTTGGACTAAATCAAATGTTGCTGCGTTTTTTACGTTGCTTTAGTTTGTGCAACTTTTTCTAGTCATTAAAGTTACTTTATATGCGAGTGTCGTATATCATTTTGTAGCTTTTCAAACGTTCACGCTTTCACGTTTAATTATTAGCTACATTCATTTATTGATCGTTTCATTTTTGTTCGTTTTAGTAAAATTGTGGAAAATTTTGAGATTCGAGTACTTTTACGTCGTTCAAAAATACTTACGTCTGCCGGGGCGTAAATAACTCGCATCACCGTCCTTATTATTTAAGCAAAAAAAAAGTGGTGAAAATTCTTTCACTCGCGTATCGATGTCAAAGTTTCGCGCGCGCGCGAGCGCCTCCGACCGTCGCGCGTCGACGTCGCAGTGGATTTTAAATGAAATTAATTACATCGGTTAACGTGTTTCGCACCTCGGGTTCGTTAGCGTGCCGCATGCGAGATTAGCACGAGCGCCGGGCCAATTTCGCTTTTTATCGCGTGAACCGGCAAATTCGATGGATTTCGGTCGGTCTGTGTCCCCCTCCGAATTAGCCGCGCGCGATCGTCTCATCGATCGATGGATCCACGCGACCGAAAAATTGTGGATCCAGTTTTCGAGATCGATCGAGGGAGTGACAAGTGGGGGCGGGGTGGTATAATAGAACGGGCATTCGACGGAATGATCGGGACAGGAGTAAATCGAGAGGCAAAAGCACGTCGCGAATTCGGTGGAAGCGCGGCCGCGGAAAAATATTTCCGCTCGTCGGCGTCGTCGCGTTTAATTGCTCCGCGTGTAATGGCCGCGATACCCTCCCCAACGGGGTCTGCAACCCTGTTCCCCTCGCCCCTGGCCACCTGGAAAAATATCGTTCTTCCGCGTCGATCGTCGATTATTAATTCGCTCGGAAATTATGTCGAGCACGAGCGTTCTCGATGGCTGTCGACGCTCCAATGTTCCTCGACGGCTTTCCTGATTTCCAATCGTCTCGGATTAATCCCCGCGATTGCCCCTATATCGAGCGAAAATTCTTCATGGTTCCAACAAAACGACTCGAGATGACAAACTAATAAGGAGAATAATTTATTCGATACGGCCGGCCACGCTTGTGCAAATGAATCGAATTAGACGTTAACCACTTTTCCTCCAACGTATTTTCAGTAATTTCTCGATTTCTACGATACTTTTACGTGATTACGTAACACAACATTTTTTCTAAGAAACCATTTTTCCAATAACCAGAAAATTGTCTGGTTGTGGCAAAAAATATTCACAAACATGCACCTCTTTCAGGCCTAGGTAAAATCTTCTTCCCTTAATTACACCGTGTCACAAGTTTACCCAATAAAATGAACGTCTACGTAAATCTATCCCTTACGGCTCGTATCCTTTGGCCTCTGGCTCATCCTCGGCTGTTCCCTTTCTTTTTCGCTACTGATGAGTAATTTCACGGAAGGCTCGCGCCGCTGGGAAATCTGGCTCGCCGAAAAATTGACGCGGCAACGTTAAAAGAGGACGTGGATCTCGGCGGGATCCAATTAAATTCCACGCGGTGTTAACGACGCGCGTACTCTGTCTTTTTTCGCTTCGTGGCAGCGCGGAAGGTTCAGTTGGAAGAATAAAGTAAAAGCGCAACAGAGACGCCAGCAGACGGAGGAGAGCGGAGAGAAATGGGCAGTGGCCGAGTTCGGAGCCAGAGCCGGGGGTTGGAATTCACCGACCTAACGCAATTTCCCAGGCGATAAAGCTCGAAAGAGCTTATCAATGAGGATATTATGACCAAGTGTCAAGTAAATCCGACCACGAACAAAATATGTCCCATATAAGCGTTGCAACCTCTTTTTATCCCCTTGAGGTTCAATTTCGAAATATCCTCTCTTGTTCCTTGTATACGTCATAGAGGAAACAATGAGACACAACTAACAAAGTGTACGAGGCCCACACAGGCCACCTCGACATCTCACAGCTTCACTCCAGCCGATCTATCCTTCGACGTAAGCGCTATTTGCTTGAATTTTTCCCCTAGATGAACATGGACGAGTTCGATCCTCTCTTCCTATCTACCGAGACCAACTCTCGCTTTTTTTTTTTTTTTCATCGCAGTCGCTCGTCATCTTTCTCCGTAATAATCTCTTTGTGCTACCGAGTAACCGTACGGTTGAATTTATTGCGGCCTCCCTGCCGGAAACACGTCCGTAAGAAAATCTTCTGGACAAGAAGCCCCAGTATTCTCCATCTACCCGGTTTTTGTCCGTTCTTACCTACGTAGGTTCTTCCTCCGCGCGTATCGAAGAAGAAGGAGAATAGAAACGAGGATGAGAGAAGTCTGTTGACGAGGCAGGAGGACGACGAGGACGAGGACGACGGGTCCTTCTTGCACGGTCGGAACTTTTTGCGGTCTCTCTCGGGACGAGCCCAAGTCGAGGGGGCAATAAAACTAATGGTAACGCGCGCCGGTAATTCCTTGCGGTCTGTTTGTCGCAAGTCGACGACCTGGCCACTCCGCCTCGTCATTTGCCGAGGGAGGATACCGCGTCCAACGTCGACGGACAAGTGGTTCCTCGGATCGGACATGGACCACGACGCCCTGGCCCTCCGATTTGTTTCGGTCCTGTTCCACTTGGCGATCGATTCGATAAAGATCGAAAAGCGTCTCTATCGGCTTCAACTCCCCGCCGCCGCCGCCGCCGCCGCCGCCGCCGCCCCCTCGACTTGGAATAAATGTTCCTCGCGTGGCGTTGACCCCTCGTCGTTTTACTCTCGGATTCCTTGGAAGCTCGAAATCCGGGGACGGTAATCCGTCTTCGTTGTTTCTGTAAATATCATCGAAAGGACCTAGGGAAAAGGATGGAAGGGAGGGAATCGATAGGGAAGACCTTGAAGCGTAGAGCGGAAGAACTCTCTGGAGAAACTCGGCGTACTCTCGGGGGAGTTTGGAGAAAAGCTGATTTCGTAGATGCTGACTCGGTGGAATCTCGCGTAATCCGAACGCAAACAGCCGAGATACGCTCTCTTCGCAGGCTCCCGAAACGAGAGATCCCCGTGGCGGGCGTCCCGTCATTATTTAAACTGCGTTTATCTTATCGCGGTTGATTTGGGCACGCGTAGCTTAAAGGGGCGGCACGACACTGTAACGTTTCAAAAAGAATCGGAACATGGCGTGTTTGGCAATGTCTAGTAAAAGAAAATGTTTCTTTTTATTTACCAGAAAAACAAAGGAAAAAATATACTTTCTAAGAGTGATAATTGTCGCGTGGCTTTATGCATCGATCATTTCGAGTCTTACGGTGATTCGACAATATTTGTTCCAAAAACAATTGATTTAATAGAAAATCTGTTTACTGCAGTTCGTTAAGTACACGTTGAATAATAACGAAATCATTTTGATGTACATTTGTTTAAATAAAATTGCGATCCTGGAGCCATTACACGACACGTATGACTTTTAATCGACGTTGCCAGAAAACAGGTATTTTCATTTTCTACCCAACCAGAATAGGCCAGAAACATAAAGCACGTATCAGGGACGTGTTATGATTCCTTTGACCCAGACACGAGAATCACGTCTGTGAGACGTGGTACGATTATTGGTCGAAACATAAGAATCACGTCTCAAAGAGATCCGTTTAAAAGCTTCTCCGATGACAATGGTCGGCTGTCGAATCGTTATGTTTCTCCTTTTGTCTAATTTGTCAATTCAGTTCGGTTCGGTTACAGTCTCGTGCCTCCTGAAACGCGCAACGGAAAAAACAAACCGTTTCCGTGGTTAACGAGCGAAATAGCACGAAATTAAGATCGTCCCGTGTTCTTGTTTGATCGCAGTGGGTGGAAGAGTCGTTCACCAACTTCGACAAGGGCATCAATTGGCGGAGTTACGTTGTCTGCGACGTGGCGTACAGCAACGTCAACAATTGGCTGTGGTCCCCGTTCATCGAGAGGGGACCGGCAAACCGCATGTACATAGAAATCAAATTCACTACCCGTGACTGCTCCCTGTTCCCCGGACACGCGCTCAGCTGCAAGGAAACTTTCAGTCTACTTTACTACGAGTTCGACGCGGCCACCAAGGAGCCGCCGCCATGGGAGACGGACAGTTACAAGTTGATCGGTGAGCGTACGGAAAACTTGCGTAGATATTCTTTTTTTCCAGCGCGATACAAAGTTTTTCCTGGGATAAGCGTGATTGGAATACAGGCTCTGTCCAATTTCGTATCGGGACAGTTACCTAGTACGAGGAAAACGAGATTATTGGGAATATTTCGGTCTGAAATTGTTGGTTTGTTTATGCGCGCGAAAACGTGGTCACCGTTATCACGCGGTACTCTGCATCTTTCCGCGTAACCGTTGGCCGAACTAAATCTCGACAGAGCTTGTATACTCCAGTACGGGAGCGCAAATGACGCGTTTGATTCGCAGGTCGCATCGCCGCTGGCGAAGGGAGGTTCAACACCAACACCGAGGTGATGATAAACACGGAGGTAAAGTCGATACCGGTGACGAAGAAGGGCGTGTACTTTGCGTTCCGCGACCAGGGCGCCTGCATCTCCATCCTCGCCATCAAGGTCTACTATATCAGCTGTCCAGAGATCTCCGTCAACTTTGCCCACTTCCCTGCTACGCCGACGGGTCGCGAGGTGGCTTTGATCGAGCAAACGATCGGCACCTGCGTCGATAACGCAGTGGTCATCGAGGAGCCCACCTTTCTCTGCAAGGGAGACGGAAAGTGGTACCTCCCGAACGGCGGATGCCACTGCAAGCCTGGCTACCAGGCGGACATCGAGAAGCAACAGTGCACCGAGTGCATGATGGGCAAATTCAAGCACGAGGCGGGACCCAGTAGCTGCGAACCGTGCCCGGCTCACAGCCAGTCCTCTGATTATGGATTCACGGAATGTCGATGCGACACCGGTTATTATAGAGCGGAGAAGGACCCAAAAAACATGCCCTGTACACGTGAGTGTCTTAACGAGATGACAGGTGGCTAGGAGGTCGCTAGCAGCTGGCGGATACAGACACGGACGGTCTATTCACAACTAGAGATCCTCTAATTAAACTCGCGACATTTCCACGCCACTTTTCACCCAATTTCGCCAAATTCAATTTCAAACGCACACAGTGCATATACATATATTCTCCATGTACATGTAGATCCGTACAGTAATACGCATATCCACAGCCTAAATGATTGGGTCCGTTTCAGTCAAGGTCCACGAGGACGCGATAAATTACCTCTACCAAATGAAAGCGATCCTAGCAACGCCACTGCGCCACATGCGATACATCACCCAAACGAACAGTCTATTTAATCGTTTGTCGTTGCAGAACCGCCGTCGGCGCCGCAGAATTTGACTGTGAATTTCGTGGACCAGTCCACCGTGATTCTGTCCTGGAACACGCCGCACATGCTGGGCGGCAGAACGGATACGACCTACAGGGTGGTCTGCGACGCCTGCAGCATGGGCGTCAAGTACATTCCCAACGCCGTAAGTTGTTGTCCAGCATTTTTACAATTTCTTTCCGAGATATCTCTGTTCGAACTCGTCTACTCGATCTTCCGATTTACGTGTCACGCAGGACATCTTCAACGACACCAAGATCACGATAACGGGCCTAAACGCGGTGACGACCTATCGATTCCAAGTGTTTGCCGAGAACGGCGTGTCGTCGCTGGCCAGAAAATCGGAATACGTGGACATCACGGTCACCACCGAGGCGAGCGTTCCCAGCCTGGTGAGCAACGTTCGGATCACCAGCGTCAAGAGTTCCGAGCTTAGCATCAGTTGGGACGCCCCTATAACCGACATTGCCGGAGACAGCGATCTGGTCGAGAGATACGAAGGTGAGGCGCGTGTGTTCGCCTCGTCGACCGTGTATCTTGCTCCCACGTCTCCCACTACACTAACGAGACATTTTTTTCAGTGAGGTGCTATCCACGCTACGACGACGCTACCAACGCCACCGTCATCCAGACCACCGATCTCTCCACGACGTTCAAAGGCCTCAAACCATCCACGGACTACGCCATACAAGTGCGAGCAAAGACCACGCGCGGCTGGGGCGAGTACACGCCGGTGGTGTTCAAGAAGACGCCTCACGCCATGGGTCTAGGTGACTAACAAACCAAACGCAATTACTCGTGATACATGAAAGTTCGTATAAATGAAATAGTCGCTTAATTGCGGCCAAATGGACTGTCCCAATTAATCGAAACTAATTGTATTAATCAACTCGTGCATGAATTTCCGCGCACTATAGGTAGGGTACAAACAAAAACCTTCTCTATTTCCCCAAATTCGATATTGGAAACAAGTGTACGGTAGATGAAGCGTAAATTCTTTGCCGAACGAGTAACGAATTCGTTTTCGTTACAGACTACGTTGGAGAGGACGACAACATGCAAGTGAGAATCATAGCCGGGGCTATCGTGGCAGTAGTCGTTCTTCTGGTGATCATCATCATCATGACCGTTCTGATCCTCAGAAGGTAAACGAATTGCTCTCGACGTTAAACTCGCCGCGCGAATCGAACGTCGAGCGGTTCATTTCTTAATTTTCCTGCATCTGATTTGACTCTATTGATGTGATATGCGATCGTTTCGATGCAGCAGGGCCTCGGACGAGTGCAACAAGAAACAGCCGAGCGACTGCGACACTCTGGAGTACAGGAACGGCGAAGGTACGTTTGTCCGATACCGTCAGGCTTGATTCTCTTTTCTTTATAAATTTATTATCGCTACTATATATATATATATATATGTATATATGTATATATATATATATATACATACCACCCCCCCCCCGCCCCGTCACTTTCATAGTTGTCTCACTACGCCCTCGTGTCTTGTGACTAATATTTTTGGACCACCAAACCCCGTTTAAACCCAGCAAGTATCGACCCCAGTCACACCCCCCCCCCCCTTTCTCATGTATACAATTACCCCACGATAATGTCTTGCCGCTGAACACCCACTACTGTAAACGTTTCTCTCTTTTAACGAAAGAAAGATGACTGAAAAGTGGTTCGAGTTTAATGAGAAAAAAGATGAAAATATACATTACGCGAAAGACAAAGAGAAATGCGAAAAGACGGTTGTCCAAGTCTAAACGACTTGGCCCAAGGACCAATAAAATACCGACGAGAGACGATCGCTTTATCGTTGCCAAAATTCATTTCACCGATTCCGGCCCGCGGTCAAAGTACCATTATTCTAACCGTATTCTTTCGATTCTTTCTTTTCATGTGCGATTCCCCTAATCTATCGAACCTGCCTCCATGAACAAATCCATGAAAAAACCCACTGAAACAATGTACACAATCGCCTGCTACTACAGGACTAGTTGTGACCTACAGTAAGTCTTCTCCAACACCTCAAGTTTTTTATTTTCTAGGAACTCGGTTTTCCGTAGATTTATACTTCATGCACCCCCTTGTAACATGCATCTATCTCGACGCGTTCCAGATACATTCTCAAAGCGCGGGCACGCACACGACTTTTCCATTTCCGTTTTTCCAACGTCCATCAAACGGGCTTCTCTGTTGTTTTCCGCGCGAGAGGAGAGACCAAACGTACTCGAAAAGATATCCGGGTGCGTGCTCGTGCTTCGTGTGCTTGCCTACACGTCCATACTGCGTCTCTACCGTTGTGCATGCGTATTGTTGTTAGAGCGTGTCGTCGTTGGCACTGCACTCGTTTCATTTCTCCGTCCGTCATTCCCCTTTTTTTTTTCTTTTCTTTTCTTTTTTTTTTCCTTTTTTTTATTTCTATATACATCCGTGTATGTAACGTAGGGTAAACCACTTATACTTGTTACAGTTTACTTTTGTTCGCATCGTCGTATCGTCTAATTGTAAGTTGGAAATTTGGTAAAAAATGAAATCTGAATCTGGAAATTCCAAATTAAACTGTTTCGAGAAATGCAATTAATATAATAATAGTATCGACATGGTTTTGTATAATTCTGTCACTGTTTTTACAAATTATTGACACTTGGGTTATTTTTATTATACGTAGCTTTCATTGAATCATTTAACCAAACTAAATATTTTACGTAGACTGTATCGAGGTTTTTATGTAATAATTAAGTTTAGTACATGAAATCATTTTATTGAAAATTCAGTGAGTCTCTAAAATGTAAAATAAGATAATTTGAAAAAGAAAATATTCAATTGGCACTAAATCGAATCCTAATGTATCGAATCAGATTTGGTAATTACCTACTTTTACGAAACGATATTCTAATCTAGTAAGAAAACTTTAATCATAAATACCTAAGGAAAAGTATATTAATTTCTACGTCTATAATACTACGTTTTCGTAAGCAGACAGGTGCTTGCTATCACATTGAAGTAAATCAACGGAACCCATTTTTTTCACTCTCTACAACGTGATAATTAATTGCGTGTTCGTAATCGGAATTTTGACTCGAGGTGTCAATAATTGGATGGGTATCACAGTTAGAGTGGTTTAGCCTGTTTACATGAAAATTTATATTCGTTACACGGTAAACGAAGACGAAAGCTCTTCATACTTTGTCTGCAACTCGGCGATATGCGCTTGCTCGCGTCATTTGACTCGTCATCGAAAACATCCACCGCTTCTTTTTGTTTGCTGTTTGTCAATTAGTGTGTTGGTTGTTGTGTTGTTCACAGTGCACTGCAAAATGGACAGTTCACCGATTGTGACAACCCACACCAACAACAAGAGCAAGTCCTCGCGTAAGTCCTCAGTCAGTCCCAGTAAAAAAGAAACAGAAACAGAAAAAATAAAGAAAGAAAAGAGAACACAGTTCTCCGATAATTGCCAGTACTGTTTCGGAGGATCACCGCGGCGAACACTCTCGATGAGAAAAATCGTCAACAACACCCGTACACTCGTTCGAACTCAGACACCAACACGTTCTTACAACCCTTTTCTTATTAAGCGTAGAAATTAATTCTATGCCCTTGTATTCAATCATACGTAACTCTAGTTTAAGTAGAAACATTTAATCGTCATTTTGTTATTTTATGTTAAATTACCAATCTTCTAGGTTCTCGACCTGGTCTTGGTAACAATGAATCTAATATGTATATATTACGAGTAATTAAGTCCGTTTAAATCAGACATATAAATTATTGAATATAGAGGCACAGAATTAATTTCCACGCCTAATACTTTCTCGTTTACACCACGATCTGCTCTTTTCCGTTTCACTCTACCTCTCTTGTACCTTCTCGCTACTTCTTCATTGTTCTTAGATATTGTTACCGTAGACGAGAAGCACGAATACGAAAGCATGCCCGATATCCTATATTCTCTTCTTCTGTCTTTTCTTGTCTCTTTTTTTTTGTTTTTTTTTTTTTGTTTTTTGTTTTATGCATCGTGTTCTCGTATCTCTTGCATCGTTCTCTTTTTCAGCCAGATGTCGATCTTTCCGACGATCGTTTCTCCGTACCGATTATTCTGTACGTTGAAGCGGCCGGGAAATGTTGGATGTTTCGGTGGAACTCGAATTAATCGGGCTCACGCTGAGTGACGAGCGGTCGCAGATGCATTCGCGGACACGTGAATTAACAGGCGACGAAGTAATTCGATTCGACCGGAGCATCCTCTCTATCCGCACTCCGTGCACACTACGACTAACGTCATTCAATCCGATGCATCGTTAATCGAAATCATTTTGGCGTATTAGGCATGCGAGAATTTCTACGCTGGCATGAAACATTTATTATGCGCGACCTTTCGTTTAGTTATTTATTTTTATTCTTTTATATATATAGTGGAGTTAAATAATCTTGTTCGTTTAAATAGAACAATCAAAGATAGCGTTTATTAGATCGTGACGAAAGTTTTGTCAGTATTGTTCGTAACTGTAATCAAAATAGAAATTTTGTTTAATGTTATATATAATTTGAAAGTATAACGTCTGGCGTACTATTCGTATATAAAATTAGGTTGAAACATTAATGACTCAGGAATGGAATTGTATTCCTTGATGGTTTGCGGAGCAACGTCAGCTTGGTAGACATGAAAAAATTTAATTTTAAAAATAAATACAAATTTGACGAGTAAAACTAGTCTACTCTACCTTCTGTCTTTCTGACTTGTTCAGTTTCCATTTTTCATTTGATAATTGTCGAAAATAACACTGTTGAAAAATGGAAAGATGCTGCAAACAGGACTGTCGAAAATTTGAAAATCTGACAAAACTTGCTAAACGACCCGATGCATTAAAAAAACAGAGAATTCTCTAAAAAAAATGACATCCGAGATTAGAGAGCACTAGATAAATTTTCACTTTCGTGGAAATGAAGGTTCCGTTAATTGTGTTTTCTTTTTCGTTGAAACTCGATAGTAACCGAGTCTCGTGTATAAGAGGAAGGGTGTGTGAGTGTTTTCACGGGATGAAACGGTTTGTCAGGGACGGGAGCGAGCGGTTGCGAGGCTCGCGTTCCGTGATTCCGTCAAAATTTAACACACCGGCCCTCGTGTTAATATAATGAACTCTGTTTTGGTGACGTTGCAGTGACCACGCCGCTGTTCACACCTGCAGTGGGAGTTGCCGCCGCAGGTGCAGGAGGCGCTGGTGGCGCAGGTGCGAGGAGTTACGTCGATCCTCACACCTACGAGGACCCGAATCAGGCCGTGAGGGAGTTTGCTCGCGAGATCGACGCGGGATACATCACAATAGAAGCCATCATAGGTATACCAGTTGTGTTTATCCTTGCGCTCAATTTAGATAAAGTACATTTTCTTCCAAGATTCGGTGTGCGAGCTGCACAGTGGTTAGCAAGCACACGAGGCCATTAATGTCCACGTAGTAGAGATCCCCAATACCGTGGGGATTTTAGCGAGTAGGTCCGTCAGTGTCGCGTAAAGAAAGGAACTAAAACAATTGGCTAACTGGCCCAACGAAACAACATGCTTGATTTAAATTGGGCTCCAGCCAAGCAGATCTCGATCCCTGTAACTCGTGCAATGTCTGTTTGAACAGGTGGCGGAGAATTCGGTGACGTTTGTCGAGGAAAGCTGAAACTTCCGCCCGATGGTCGAACGGAGATTGACGTGGCCATCAAGACCCTGAAGCCAGGCTCCGCGGACAAGGCTCGCAACGACTTCCTCACCGAGGCTTCGATTATGGGTCAGTTTGAGCACCCGAACGTGATATTCCTGCAAGGTGTCGTGACCAAGACCAACCCGGTGATGATCATCACCGAGTTCATGGAGAACGGTAGCCTGGACACCTTCCTCCGCGCGAACGACAGCAAGTTCCAGGTACTTCAGCTGGTGGGCATGCTGCGCGGTATCGCGAGCGGCATGCAGTACCTAGCGGAGATGAACTATGTGCACCGTGATCTCGCGGCGAGGAACGTGCTCGTAAACGCCGCCCTCGTTTGCAAGATCGCCGACTTTGGACTCAGCAGGGAGATCGAGAGCGCCACGGAAGGAGCGTACACGACCAGGGTAAGTAGTTGATTCCTATGGATTCGAAGCTATGCTTTTTTTCAGTTGCTGCTTACGGTTCACGCGTGGAAACGTCAAGCATGATCGACCGCGGTGAATCCTCGCCAAGTGGCGTGATAGCCAAACAGATTGTGTAGAGATAGAGTAGAGCGGAAATTGTAAGAATAGAAAGATTTAGCGGACGTCTATTCTTCTCTAACAAAGGATCCACAGTCACGTTAAGAAATTGTTATCAGAGAGAATACGAGTTTTATCGGACACATGAGCTTTCAAATAGTTTTATTGTTGCCACTATTGGTCCAGTCTTGCACTCGTACCTTTTTCCATATCACATTTACGAGCGAGCCAGGGCCAGGCTCTCTCGTTTGTGAGACGGAGTGCAAGGGGCCATCGAAGGGGATAAAAATGGAAGCTTTTCAATCAACTAAATAGCAATTTCACTGATTTTTACCTTTAATAGCCACTTGGACTGGATTCACTGTATATTGCTACAGTTGCAAACAATTTATTGGTAATATAAATGTTCATAGACGAGTCACGCATCTTCTTTATGTTGGAAAATTGTATAGTTTGTATTATATCGTAGGTTACAGGAAAAGCATACAAAATTAAAACGAATGAATCGAATAAATGTTTGCAAAACTGTCAAGTAATCGAGATTGTGGTTTGACAGTAGAGACCTAAGCGCCTTTTCATTAATTTCCAATAATATTAACAGATTTCATAAGAAAATACTTAAATTTACCATTTAATTTAACGATGACGTGTCGAATAGAGATGGAGGGTACGAATAGACGAATAGTTAATTGGGGGACTGACTGTATGACTCGTATGTATTACCAGCACATTGTCCATATCCGCGGCAATATACATATATCGGCGATAGCTAATATATTTTTCGCGGGTCTGGTTTGCTCGAACCAAACACTTTCAACCATCGAATCTTGAAAGACTGTTTACTCCGGCAAAAAGGGTGGAAAGATCCCGGTGCGATGGACAGCTCCGGAAGCGATAGCGTTCCGAAAGTTCACCAGCGCCTCCGACGTGTGGAGCATGGGTATCGTCTGCTGGGAGGTGATGTCCTACGGCGAGAGACCGTACTGGAACTGGTCGAATCAGGACGTGATCAAGTCGATCGAGAAAGGATACAGGCTTCCAGCGCCGATGGATTGCCCGGAGGCCATCTATCAGTTGATGCTCGACTGCTGGCAGAAGGAACGAACCCATCGTCCCACGTTCGCGAATCTCACCCAGACATTGGACAAGCTCATACGGAGCCCGGAAACGCTGAGGAAAATAGCCCAAAACAGGTAAAGGTCTCAAATCCATCGCTGTAACAATCTTATCCGCGACTCGCGGCTCGCGGCTCGCGGCTCGCGTCTCTCTATCGCGCGCTAACGCGTTTTCGCGGTATCGTATCGTTCATTCGCTCTTATCGAAACACCGTTGCTCGCACCAGACAAGTGCTACATGGGAAAGCTTCTGTTGCGGACTGACGTAGTACGAACAAGTGCAAACCTTACGATGTGTCGTTGCCTATCATCGCGCGAATGATTCGATGGACGCGTAATCACATTTGCAAACGCTTTTTGCAACTGTTCGTAACGAATCCTGACCAGGGCATGCCATCTGTCATCGAATCGTTCGTTGATCATCTCTTTTAACACGTATCATGCCGCATGTCATGCGAATCACACTTCGTGTCCATAAATTAATTTCTCTCGACAGCCAAAGGTTTTTTCCGTTCTTTCGCTGATTACTAAAAAGCTCACACGCTCTGCGCTCTCCACGTACGCTGTTAGACTGGGCTTTGATATATTGTTGTTGCTCATTCGTAAAATAGGATGTCACGCATATATATATATATACATGAAAAAAAGAAAAGAAAAGAAAACCAAACCGACGAGACTATGCGACCGTCCAGGATAATATAATATAGTCACGAGATGTGTGTGTGCGAGACTACCCGACAGAGAGTGATTTCCGTGTGCACGTCTTATGCTCGAGGGCGTCGTGAAAAATATACCTCGACCTGATTGGCATTACTGGAACCAGGCATATCAAAATATACATATATGTGTATATGTACGTATGTGATATACTGGACTGATTTTCAATCGCACCTTTTATATGGAACATTTTCTTTCTCGCAGTGTTCGCTTTCCTTTTAACTTTTTCTTCTTTGTATTTTTTTTTTCAATTTTCTTTTTTTTTTCTTCAATGATATTCTTACGTTTCCTTGTAGCTCAAAGTCAAAATTCATTTGTACAGCGCCTCCGCTTTCACGCTTCTCGTTCTCTTTGAAATTCAAACGACGCCAGACCAAACGAAACGCGAGCGACCCGCGGCGCGGCGGTCAATCTTATCGATTCTGGACGGACGAAAGTGAAAAAAGAATTTTTACCAGTTCTATTAGATATTTACTACACTGTAATCGTTGGTACCACTTACTGTAAAGGTTACCATGTTAACATTTCATCGTTTCACAATAATTTAATGGTTTGTTATCACAGTTATCGATGAATCGGAATTTGGGATACATCCGAAGTTGATCATCGTGTCGGTCGAAAATGTTTTTATAATTAAAGATACCTCGAATGATCTACATCGAGTTAATTATTTTAAAACTTGAACTTTACTTTGATCACCAAATTCCTAGTATCCTTTAGAAGCCGTTTAACCCGGTAAACATTTCTTTTAACAAGTCTAACATCGTTAATACTAACTATCCTCGATACGAGAAATGAAAAATGATTTTGTCAGCTTTCGACATACCAGTTGCAATTACGTCCGGTATCGTGATGAGTCATGACTCAAAGTAATGTTTGTTTAAAAATTCAACTTCCATTGTATTTGTGACAAAAGAAAATTGGTGCAGGTACGAAGGGATTAGAGTCGGATCGATTCCCTAAAAAAGCATCCCTGGTTGTGTAATACTTTTGTCCACCTAAATTGATCAAATTGTCCACTGCGCGACGAGCAGAAGATCCGCGCAGCGAAACGAAAAGCTAGCAATTTCTGTTGGATTTTTCTTGTTTGCTGCACATATTTTCAATGAATCTCGACGGAGTAATCCTATTATGAGCGGGACGCCTCGGATGTGACGCGCGCGACGCGACGCGACGCGACGCGAAAAATGGTCGCCCGAAAGTTGTGCACCGGTAACAAGTGGCTTTGCGCGCGTGATACTGCGCTTTGAACGGCTTAACTTCCTTTGAAACGCACGCCAAAAGATAAAAAAGAAAAAGAAAGTAAAGAAAACGAAAAAAAAAATAAAGATTTGCTGTGCCTTTTCTTCCGTCTGTTTCCGTCTATTTGCTGGGAGGAGAATTAATTTATGGACGAAAGTCTCCGGCGCGATCATTCTCGCGGGATAATTTTTCCGTTCGCGTTTCAAGAGAACGACGAAAATAAAAAAAAAACTATATATATATATATACACATAAAGTGCGCATCGTACTGCGGTGGCTTTCAGAGAGCTTTTATCGCTTTAGCGCTTATCGTTTCTGTAATCCTCGAACTCGTACCATTTCGAACCATCCCCGTCCATCCGTCCGTCCTCGTACCACCACTTATTTCGACCGCAAACAACAGTAAAAAAAAGGCGAACAAAGGTTGAGATCAAACGATACTCGACACACACAGAGAGAGAGAAAGAGTTCCGCTTTATCATCGGTCGATCGTTAATAAAGAATACGAGAAAGACGTCTGTGTCACGAGCATCGCAGAGAAACTACGAAAATAAAATAGAAACGAAAGGCAGCTCTGAGATTTTTCTCTCGATCTGGTGAAAAACGATCGATAACGGGATCGTCCCTGGATCGAAATGAATCGATCGGTTCGCGTCGCGGGACCAATCGATTATCGTTGGATTTCTGAAGGGCCGCCGCGTCGGCACAGTGGAAAGAAGCGTTAGATAAAAGCGACATGGACGAAAATTTAAATTGCCCTCTTCTCATCTTTTGTTACTGCATCGGTGATGCACTCGAGTAATTCAGAATTTACAAAGGAAAAGAATTTTTGGAATCTCTTGTAATCCGATTTTTCGTAAATTAGTATAGCTACCGGGGTGTGTGTTATCAGGTTGATTAAAAATATTGGATCATGTAGAAAAATCATTTCCTTTCGGACAGTGTTGCACGTGTACTTGGTTCTTTTATGTGTTATAGAAACACCAAGTATAATAATTTAAATAATTTCAACGTTTGTATTATTCGCATGACTCTAGAAACGACTATACACTTCGTTCCACTCGTGATCTTACGCCAACGATCGATGAAATATTTGTTTCGGTTAAACGAAACTAGTCCCATCCATAGGGATATTATAGATAGAAAAAAGAAAAAGAAAACCGCGGTACCCTACCTGTCTCTATTTATCAGTGCATTTTTACGAATCATTCTCCTTTGTACGTTTAACAATTACATGCATATTTTACATTCACACTAACGCATAAGTAATTAGCCTGTTTTGTTTTGTTCTATACTGTATTTTTACCAACACCTCGTTCTTTTCTTGGAAATATCCTTATATTATACAGAATGAAATTTGTCATAAAATATAGGTTTTCAGCACATTAAATAAAGATGTCTACGAGATAGATAGGGTACGAGAGTTTCCTTTTCTCTTTTCAACGACGGGACATGTCGCCTTTCAATAACAGGCCCATATCTTCCCTGGTCTGTCTATAATATCTCGTATGGTTCCTTCTTCCGAAATTCTTAAGACCCCGATGGCTCACCCCTCCCCCTCTACCCCTCGTTCCCGAGTAAACGATTTTTACGTCCTTTTTTCTGGGCTAATTCTTTGTGGTTTTGGTTTTGTGGTGTCTTTGGTACCCGACTACGAACTGCAACCGAACGCAACTGCGACAACTACCATCTACCACCAATCTACAACTCTCCAACAACAACAACTACAACAACAACAGCGTGAGGCCACCTGCACACAATCCATACTATGTCACAAGCCACGCGGCTGCCGCACAGGCCGCGGCAGCGGCCGCTGCGATTCCAGCCGCGGCCACGAGCCAGTTCGTAGACGTAGTCGGCCATCAGGCCCATCAAGCCCAGTCGACGATTGCCGTTCCAGTAATGCCACCAGGAGCCGGCCGTAGCTTACACTATCACACACACGCAGCGACACACGCATTGCCACAGCAACCACCGCTTACATACCCAAACTGGGTCCCGTTCACGCACTTTGGTTAAGTAAGGAAGGATAAAGATAATAATAGCTGTCCGTTTCCGCGACGAGTGCTTCTTGCTTGTGGGCTTCTCTCTCCTCTGGGTGGTGTCGGAAAAAGTCGAGAATCCACGTAAAATCACAATTTCATCACTATTTCCCTGCAATTTCTTAGCACGCGGTCCCAGGGTCGCTTTTTAATCGGCTAATCACGCCAGCCAACGATTTACCTCTTTGCCTTCTCGACTTGTCCCTCTTGGTACACGGCCAAAGCCACGCGATCTCTGGATTTCGAAATCCGTCGAGTCACGATAGAAAGTCGACGTTTTCCCTTGGACGGTTTTCGTTCGACGACCATCGCAAAAGAGATACGTCGCGCTTGTCGTTCTCCCCCAGAGAGGTTCGCGACTCGTGTCCCGGTCTGTCGACGGACTGGATCAACAGGTTCGAATCAGTCGTCGTTTGTTTTTCCCGTACCGCGAGCCCGACGTTCGCCAAAGAAACAATCGCGGGGCTTTGGTCCGACGCCGACGCGACGGCCACGGAACATCCCTAGGAGGGTTCCCATGGAAATCACCGACGCACATTTCATTGGGAGTATGCTCAAGTTACCGCCGTTTTTTTTTTTTAACTTGAAAAACTCATTTATTAATAGACCAAAATGAAATGTATCATCGATTAAACGATTAAAGTATCGTCCAATCTTTGTGAAATTAATAAAAGGAGACCACCTTATAATGTAAACACATTGTATTTATTTTATTAACGTAGATATATTTAAATGTAACGCAGGCTTAAGACTCTCGCACGGTACTACGCACGGTATATCGAGGTCGGTGTTGGTCAAAACTAGTGTCTATGAAGTCTGTGTCGGTCATTTTCACGAGACAAGCCCCCCCTGAGGAGTAGAGGAGACATTAGGGCTAAAATGTTCGCAAGGAGCACTTTCCTCTCGAACGGGTGAATCGCGTCGACATAGAAAAACGTTTTGCTCGTGTTTCTCTAGAGAATCAGGGCGTTAGGTAAAATTTCATAGATGGTCTCAGTCGAGATTCCGTTTGAGATTCCGTGTATCGCTTAGGTGTGGGTAAAAATGGTAGCCGGATTAGCCGTTGATAGAAAAAGAATTTTTCTCGATTTCCCAGTTATCATCGATTCGCTACAAATCCGAAATCGATCGAATCTCTACCTATATATATATATATTATTACTTATTCGGAAAGAGCAAAGACAGACAGACAGACAGACAGACAGACAGAGCGTGTGTGCGTGTGTGCGTGCGTGTGTGTGCGTGTGTGTGTGTGTGTACGCGCGCGTGTGTGTGTGTGATGTTTTTTATCGCCGTGTTCGAGCGAGCGCCAGGCGCGGTAGATTTTATCGGTTTTAGCTGCCACGTGCAAGTCGTATAGAGAATATTTATGGTTCTAGTTAGCGGGATTTAAATGGAAAATTTTAACAGAGCAGTTTTTTCGTAGATGTAACGAGAATTTATAGAGAACGAATCGAACCAACGAATAGCAATATCTGAGGAGGGAAACTTCTTGAGCTTGCAAAGCTCCGAGGAACAGGGGATAGGGGGGCGAGATAAGATTTTATCCGCGAAACGTGTTTTACGCGAGAATCCAGTCATAGTCTTTCAGATGTTTTTCTAATTCTTGATATACGTAATACATTTACATATAAATATATATAAATATACATCTGGCACGAGTATACGTAAATATTATTATTATTACTAATATTATTATTATTAAAAAACGGATTTATATATATATACATAATATTTATTGACATCATCGACTTTACGGACAAACAGAAAACTGCAAAGACTTATTAGCATTTAATCGTGCGAGTGCGACAAAACCGTTCGAGACCAGATTTAGAATAGTATTTTTCTACTTGAAACCCCATGGAAAGTCGGACAAAAAGAAACAAACCGTGCAACGATTGACCGTGCAAGGCTGTGCTTCCACGCCGGGTTCGATCGATCGCTAACACACGTTATACACGATGTTTCATAATATGTGGGATCTTTTTTGAAGATAAAGTAATCGCACTAAAACAAATCAAAGTGTCCTTTAGCATTTTGCGATCTGAAACTCTCGGTGCTTGATTACGATCTGGGAATCTATAATAAAGTTTGCTAGTGCGAGGTACTATCTACCCTAAACGTTATTTTAGAGTCCCGGCTCATTTCCAAGCAGTGAGTATGCATCCGTATGTATTTCTCCCGAGTAAGTGAGAACAACTGATTGTGTCCCCTAAACAGCGCCTCGGATCGCAAAAAAATTCAGAAATTTTCGATTCGTATTAATGTCAAGTCTTGCTCCCACATATTATGATACGCCCTGTATATCGCACATCACTTTACCTTTTAGGAAAAGAAAACTTCGGAAAGTCGATCGTAGTTGGTTACGTATATACGTTGCGCAACACCATTGCAGGAAAAATGATCGATCGTAACAACTGTGTAGGGGACGGACGGAGGGATGAGGGTTTAGTTTTGCGACGGTTTTTCATAAGCTAGCGGAAGGGGGTTCTCGAACGACAATCAGCTTTTAGGACACGCGCGCGTGGTAAATCGAATCGAGAGTTGAACGCGCGCGCGCGCGCGTGCTAATTACCTCAGAGTTCGGCGTCGACAATCGCGATAATACGAGCTTCGCACAATTACACGCGTACACATACCACGATCACACCCGCACAAACACTGCAAGAGTGAAAGAGAGTTATCGGTGGAAGGGAGGCAAAAGATATAGCGATGAGGTAAAGAATATGCAAATACACGTACACGCACACGCACACACACGCACACACACGCACACACACGCACACACACGCACACACACGCACACACACGCGCGCAAGCAAATGTACACGTAAACAAATACAGATACACAAGCACACACCATAGTGTGTGACCTCCATCGCACTAACAAATGCTAACAATTGTCAGAATCAGGGAAAGGGGTGCTCCACCCCCACCCCCACCCGCCTCGTCGACATCCTCCAACGTGCATTTGAGGAAAAGGTAACAAAATCAAGAACAGCTTTCAGCCGACAAAAAAGTAAACAAAATACGAATAATCGAGCGAGGAGCAACGAGCCACGCGACGAAAACTACGGGTTCCGTCTAATTGGAGAACGACAGAGTATAGACATTTTAAAAACAATGTTATTTTAAGGAAAATAAAGCAATAAAGTTGTATTTTGTCATTGTGGAATGTAAAATATGTACAATATAGTTACTCGGTTACTCGGAAAAAGAATCAACAAACATTAAAATAAATGAATAAAATATGAATGTTCTTTTCGCGATGAAATATTTAATTCTATTTACTTGAATCATCTACCAAGATAATTCGAGTCCTAATTTTATTCAAACGAAATGTTCTGGATGCTGTATCGACTATTTCAGATTTTCCTTTAGATAAGAATTATTTGCCGATCTCTGTAACAAACACGCTGTAACCGAATCGCACAATTGCGATACCACTTGGTCGTGGCTCGTCGCTCTCTCGGCTCCGTTGGATTCACCGAGTATTGCTGCCACGTAGACAGCATTTGCTCTGCTTGTACCCTCTTAGTTCGTATCGCACTGCTTGCTTCGTACGCACCATTATCCATTCACGTATATATCTACGTAAAACGTCCAGCTAATCTCCGAAATCCGTGTGTGAAGAACCGTCAACGTAATCACACCGGCATTAGTGTTCTCATTACCGCCATTACCGACTCTCACTGGCATCACCATCGATCACACCATTCACCAGCAACGATCCAAAATAAATGATCCGAATTTTCGCGACCTAGCCTGGTCTTCTTGGTCACAGTTTCATCGCTTTTGCTAGACATCGATTACAAAATATCTTTGTTAAATGAATAATGAGAAATCTTGGTTTTCGCAACTCTAACGTTTCGTGCATTTCTTGATATATTCATTATTTGTTTTAGAACCATCTCTACTAGTCGTCTTTACTAAACAAATACGTTAAAATGATCTATCGTGTAGTTCGATATATTATACAATTTGCAAATATACGAGTATCATTTATATGTATAAGGAACTTTATATAGAGTCAAAAGGCAAAGAAAAGTAGTAGGGATTGATTATGCGAGACTCTGAGGTGTTGGCCATTATTTATTTCATTTGTTCGCGACTATTAAATTACTTATTTCGCGAATCACACCAAGAATCCAGGTACGGTGGTGGAATATCGTGTGCCCCCGGTCCAAGTGTACATAAAAGATACATATTATCGACCCCCTCTTAGGCTAAGATCCGTTTTTATACTGTACCATACCCGTAAAACACTGAGCAAATGATACCAACCGAGTAACTTCTCCTAGAAATAAGTAGCAGACTTTCGAAACTCGGCTCACACTTATTCGACCCTTAACCAGCAACTCCACTTTAGTCCCTAATTTCATTCCGGCTCCCGGAACGTCTTCTTGTATAGTTGTCAATATCGTGGCACACAAACAACGCTTGTTTTGGCCAGAAAAAGATATTCCTCGTAACTAGATTGCGGATTTCATGCATTTATGACGTATAATAATATAGGAAAATATACGTAATGTATATCGAATATATTCTAGGTGTATAAGTGTTTTAATAATATTATTATTATTTCATTCTGGATAAATGCACATACCGTTTAGTTATTCTTATCGTGTACCTATTATATTAGTTTATATCATAAATGGATAAAGTCGCCAGTCTACTCATAACTGACAGAGGTTAAATTGAAAATTCCAACCACGGTACATAAATCGATCGTTACACTACTGTCTATCATCGATTATAGTATAACAATTTTGATCTCTAGATTCTTCACAGTCTCGTGTGAAGCTCATCTACTCCCCAAGTAAAATAAGGAAGACTTTCCGCGAGCAAAACACTCGCGACATCTCTGTGTGTTTAACCGTTTTTCCAACTAATGGATACACCCCCCGTGTATATAAACGTATCTTGACACCCAAGCTCCTCTTCGTGCGAACCGATCTAAGGCAGATCCTCTATCCATTGTACAAGTACTTTTGGTAATATTTCCAACTGTTCGAGTAATAACGTCCCCGACCTTGAAGCTACCCTTCTTTACATCCCCTGGCACGCAGAAACAACGAAGGCGCTGGCTTTTTCTCGAGATGAAAAATTCGGAACTGTGGGGGAACTCGAGGCACCAGCGTTGTTTCGGTCTGCCCTTATACCAGAGACGGGCAAAGTCTCCATTTCGATCAAATATCTAGTATCGAATGTACGGTTCAATAATCTCGACGAGTAACGAATTCTTGGCTTGTTTAGCTACAAATTTTCATAAACTCCGTAAAATATAACGTTTCTCTGTTTTATGATCAATGTAATCCGTAGCACTAAGGACGTAGGATCGTAGGACGTAGGTCATCAAACTATTATTTAAATATATTTTCAAAGTAACATTCTGTTATTTAAATATTGTTTAATGGTCAAGGTATAGGTAAACCAGCGTATGGAACTGTTGCTCCAACGACTAAAAACTAAAAAACCATCGTTCTCGCAACGTACATTGAACATCAAATACATCGAACAAAAGAAGATGTATACCCGTCTACATTCTCAAAGAGAAACAACCTCGATTTCTCATAAAAATAATATAATTATCCAGAGAATGAATGCCCGTCACTGGGGCCCCCTAGATACCAACGACCTGTAGATCCTTGATCGAGCTTCGGGTCTTCGGTTCGCATATAGTGTCCCATCATCAATCATTCGTCTAACTCTATATTCTCTCCCAGGGGCACCAATCCACTGGCGCCGGACGCGGTGGACTTGACACAGTTGACCTCGGTCGGCGAGTGGCTGGCCTCCATCAAGATGTCACGGTACGCGGACAGCTTCGAGAGGTCCGGGGTAGTCACCCTGGAGGCGGCAGCTCGTGTAACCGTTCAGGAACTGACGGATCTAGGGGTGACGCTGGTGGGACACCAGAAGAAGATCATGAACAGCGTGACGGCGCTCAGAGCGCAAATGTCCGCCACCTCGCAAGGCTTTCTCGTCTAACCGCGCGCCGGCCGGCCGGTCGGTGCGCTTCTCAGAAGAACCTTTTCACGCGGTAGCGATACCGCGAACGAGTCAGGACTCGACGATGACCCGTCGAGCCGACGGATCGGTCCTTTGCGGGGATCACTCGCGCCGATCGCCACCCAGCCAAGGTTCTAGCGAGGGACTTAGATCCTAGCGGCATCCTAGTCACGACGATAGGTGTCCACGGACAGAAATCACCCTTTCCACGTCCACAGAGTCCCCCCTCCCCCAAGCTGCCCGTTAGCCCCGGCTGTCTCGAGGATTCGGGAAACTAGAAGCTTCCTCGAGCTATCCTCGGCCTACCTCGAGACGCTATCGCTCACCGAACGGAAACGTAACGCGTTCAAAGCCAGAATCCTAGGCTGCGCGTGGCGCGGAAACGGTCCGCAACAAAACCGTTTCACGGAAAGTCTCGCTCGATTCATCGAATCGCGAGCGAGCCACCCGCGACACGGGATCAATCCGTAGATAATAGACCCCGGGACGGCCTAAAAATATCGAGTCGGCCGCGTCGACTTTGTCTTTCTCTTCCTAGAAATCGCGTCCCCGCGCGGCTCGATCGCCAGGATCGGCCGAGGGACGATGCAACTGCCACCCGTATAATCACTGCCGTAATCTTTACAACAGCGAAACTCTGCGCGACCACCTCCGACCGAGGGCTATCTATCACATCCTAATATTTCGGATTTGCTGTAGACGTCAGACACGGGTTTCGTTATTTTCCGATATGCGTGAGACGCGTTTAGTTAGTAGAGAATCTTGGGTTTCGCGTGGAAGTTAATGATAATCTAGTGTTGTTGATTGAAAAAACAGTTCATCCTCGTCCAAACTACTACCGAAGCAAGCGAAAACACGTGTCGGACGTTCATAGGAATTCCCAGCCCAAGTCAAACTCTCGAACAAAAGCCTACTCACCGTCGAAACTGTCTAACGCACTGAAACTTGCTCATCGCACCGGCTACACGTACAGAGTCACGCGAAACGTGTCCATAGACATTCCGTTTTCTTTTCTTTTCTTTTCTTTTCTTTTCTTTTTCTTTTTCTTTTCTTTTCTTTTTCTTCTCTTTTCTTTTCTTTTCTTTTCTTTTTCTTTTTCTTTTCTTTTCTTTTTCTTCTCTTTTCTTTTCTTTTCTCTTCTTTTCTTTTCTTTTCTTTTCTTTTCTTTTCTTTTCTTTTCTTTTCTTTTCTTTTAGCAGAGATGTTTGATCGCCGGCCAAATTTATTTAACTGTTCTTTTACAGTGTTCACGATTACTTGTCCGTTGTGTCGAGAAACAAACGGCCTGAAGGCCTAAAGTATCAACGACCGAGTACGCTTGGTCTCGCTTCTTTCCTTGGAAGACCGTACGAGAAAGATTTTATCAAATTTTCACCGCTCATTTCATGACTTACATGTTTACGATTCAAGGATTTATTAGAAAAATTAATCATTGTTGTAAGAATCAAGAGTTTAAGGGCCCAGGAGCCTTCGCCAGCGGCCTAACCGTATCAACTGTAATACACAAGAGGCAAATGGCTGACAATGAGATCCCTTTTTCATCCATAATGAAATTATTTCTGTAAGCATTCCAAAAGGAAATTTCACGTCCAATTTTTATATTAACTTTTCATTATTACATATTTATACTATTTATAAACAGAATTTTCCATTATTTATTAAAAATTACTAATTTTTCTTTAAGACTAATGGTTGAAAGTTTGCTTGATAGGTAATTAAACAATCAAATCGATGAGATAGCTTTCGAGGAATGTTCAACTTTAATTACGATAAACGTTTCGACTCTTCATTTGGACCCTACTTGGTAACAATGTTAACCCTGCTAGTACAATTCAAGCTAATATTAATATACACAAAATTTGTATAGTTGGAAAAACTACGTCACGAGAATAGAACAATTGAAAATTGTTCGTGAAATTGATGTTAACTAAATTCCTGTTAACACAAGCCAAATGTACATCATATTATTGATTTTGTTAATAAATCAGTGTTTAACAATTGTATGAATATGTATTATTGATCTTACTACAACACAAATATGTACTTATATTGCTATTTTCTTTGTTTCTTTGTTTCATACCTAAGCTACACCAACAAAAAGAAAACAAGACTTGTGTAAAACATAGTGCTTAAAAATACTAATGTTAGTTTGAATGTAATTATTGGGTTAACATAATTATTAAACAAGTACCAAAGGAAGACGCAAGACTACACCAGGCTAAATCGCAACTTTCTTACACGCTCTTCGGATCAGGCTAACGGGAATGGGAAAGAAAGGAGAAGTCGAGGGCCAAGCGTACATAATTAGTTGCAAGCCTAATGCCGCGTTTTGTCGCGCACGTACAACGAATATTACTCTATAGCTCTTGTCGATGACACTCGATCGATGCAAAAACACGCGATACACGCATGGATTATTATTGTCGCTATTTTTCCGAAACTGGATGCGAGAAATCCAGCCCTAGAATTTTCGTACGGCGACGAAACCAGGCGAGGACCACAAGTGGATACGATTTCACCTGCCTTCGCGCGATACCTACACTAAATATATTGTACGTGCGAGTCCCCCCCGTGTAGCAGAGGTACCTGTCGATTAAGCGGCCGAAGAGACGCGAGATTTAAATAAATGCGAGAGAATCATGTGCCAATGATGCGCGAGAACGAGAGAAAGCGTGCATGCGAACGAAGGAAAAGGGAAGACGGGGTGCGATCGTCGAATCGCGAGAGACACACCCCTACCCCTGTAGATGTGCGTCAAGGAAAGAAAATACAAGTATATCGAAAGCGAGAGATCGAGACGTCCAGGAAAAATAAAGGTACCGAGAAGAAATTCCTCGAACGTGAACATATCAAGGCGTATCTAAAGCGGGAAGAGAACGAAGCGACAGCTCGAGAAACGAAATGGCGAGAGCCGGTAATAATTGTTCGTTACTGACGCCGCGAATATTGTACAAGCGAGACGTGTATTAGCGATTGCCTGTCAGCGAGTAGTACATTTTTTCCTTTCGACGCAAACGATTGCTCGAAACAGTTTCATCGCGAACGCAACGTTCACGCACCAGCGCAGCGGCGCGATCCATCGTCGACGGCGCGGCACGCCGCGCGGCCGTGGAGACCCAAGCTCGTTTCGTCGCGATGGACGCGACTCTGTATCTTGTTACGCGTTTCGCCGATTTTTTAAAGACTGCCCCCACCCCCCACCCCCACCCCCCGGCCACTGGGCCACCCGGGACACACCCATGTCCGGAGACGAACGCTTCCCGAGCGTGTCCGGCGAGCCACGGGAAATTTTTTTATTCTTAATTTAACGAATTACGCTATAGGACTATGTAGTTGACGGGGTCGACGCCGCGACGAACGAGCGAATCGAGGCGAAGGAGAGTCTCTTAAAGAAAACCGTCGATGAAACGACGGAAAACAAGTTAATTTCGTCCTCCTACGTTCTGTGCGGCGGCGTCGACGCCTCTCGATTAGGAGAATCGTACTCGAGGTCGTTCTGTTTGCATTCGGATAATGCGAACCAAGGTCCTGGGGAGAGCTCGTGTTCGGCGCACGGCGGGAACGAAGCGAGAACGAAACGGAAACGCCGCGCGACGATCCTCGAGATCTTTCAGTTCAGGGGAAAAAAGTGTACCCGGTAAGCTACTTGGACAAAAAATGAAGAAACGGCGACGATTTAAGAAGCAATAAGCGAAATACATGCAAATGCAGATTTTTATATAGAGAATGTTAACAAATTTCAGAAAGATATTAATTATCGATAGCGCTATCTTCCTAAATGTTCGTATTAAAAATGAAAAGTTAACGAGAGAGGGTTAAAAGTTAAAGCGTGCGAGGATGACAAAGTCACGCCGATGCGCGGATTCTCGACCCGAACGAGCTGTTTAAACCTTTAAACAGTTTAAAGTGTCCTGCAGAATTCTCTGGTCAAGAGCGAAATGACAAATGAATTCTGCGGACAGTGTAAACTTGTCAACGAAAGAAGAATGAAACGGGAAGCTCGTTCTGTCAGCAAACCGCGGTAGAGGAAGAAACAACAGAAAAGGTTTTAAGAACTCTTTCAGCTGTAACTATTTGTGTCTAGCGACGAAACCTGCGAGTGCGACCTAAAGTTTTGAGAATGTCGATAGTTTCAGCGGATTTAATATTTAGATTTCATAGATCTCTATCGATATTACACACGATCGTAGGCACGAAACGAGCAGATGATAATTAGTTAGAGCGTAAAGGATATCTTATTAGAGAGACCTTTTCGGATTTTCACCTTTTCGTGTCTTTCGAGTATTCGAACCGCCTCTAGATGGGCCTCTCTCCCTCTTTTCCCCCATTCTCCCATCCCCCTACCCGCTCCTCGGAGTAATCCATTCCGTTTTCTTCAGCTACTTGTTCATTCCTTCACACACCTAGCGACGAGATTCGGAAAACGAGACGTCTTGAATCGAGTTACTCGAGGATTTATTGAAACGTGTCGCGAAACCTTCACGATTGAAAGTCTTGATACTCGTACAGATAAATAGAGAAATAAGTAAAAAGGTGAATGGGAAGTTGAAATTTCGAAACAGTGGTATCGTTGGGAGAAAGAAAGGACCTGTCTCGCTTTAAAAGAAACGTGGACAGCGCAGAGTAATTTTTGTTCAATCGCAGGCCTTACGAAGACTGAATAAAACGTCTGACCTAACGCGAATCGTAATTCCTTCCAAGACTAATCTTTCTTACTCCCGTCGGTACTAGTATAGAATCGTGTACTTACGAACCAAAGAACCAAGCCAACCGAAGGCACATGTGCTCAGATATCGTGTGTGTCAACGCTCGCTAACGTTGGAGCACATGTGCCCCTTCAGTCGCCTTGACTCGCAATGGTCTGTGTGTCGGCTTAAGATAAACGTAAGCAATTCAAAGCATCGAGAGTGTCGCGAGGTTTTGCAAAACAAGGCTTTCAAGATAGTCGAGACTTCCAAGAATTTCCAGCTTGTATTTTAGTTTCAAGACCTAATTTAAGATTCTAATTCTAACCGATTAAAAGAAAACATTCAAAGTCTCACCACTAGACGCTGCAGCTTCTCTTTCTAATGGCGCCTGCCCTACACTTTCAAAGCTTTCGATCGTACTTCGTGTCAATGTATTTATGTTGTCTATGTGCAACACTCTCCCTCTCCCTAACAAACATATGTCGCAAGGGGAGATTTTTGATTTTCGGTAGACGAGGATCTGAGAGAAGGAAGAGCGACAGCGAAACTGTAATTCTAACCAATTGCCTAAAGGTAAACGTAAATCAAAATTTTCCTCGATTCTCACGCGAACGAACCTCTGTTGCTTCTCCGCCCTGTAATTTCTCCTTTTCTTCCAAACGCCATGCCACCCTATTTTTTGTTCTCTCTCTCTCTCTCTCTCTCTCTCTCTCTCTCTCTCTCTCTCTCTCTTTCTCTCTCTATTTAACACCTTCTTACTCGATTAACACGTTTCCTGTACTACTATTTATTAAAAGCAAAGAAAGCCTTATTTATTGTTTAGAGATCTGACTAAATTAAAGTGAACGTTTCTAATTGTCGTAGGTTTATCTATTTACCTTTGCTAAAAATCGTGCGAAAGGGGACGAGAGAAAGATAAAAAATAAACGCGGTTATTTCCTTACCACGGAGTTTCCTCGAAAGAAACTTCTACCTCGTTGTGAAACAAACGATACGTAAATAAGCGAGATCGAAGGAAAGAAAAACTGGAGCACACAACATCATAGATACGATCGTCGAGTCTCTAAGCAGCTATATTATCGATTAGTTAAGAATTTTCTTTTTGCTCTTTTTATTAAGCGACCTACGTGCGCGCGTTGTTTAATTCTGTTCCATTTTTTTCTTTTTCTTTTTGTTTTTTAATTTTCTCTTTCGCCAATTATTGTACCCCTCTTGTCTTACCAGTCTGTTTACAGCGAACTTTGTCAATGTACCTGCTTCGAAAACGAAAAGCAAACAAAATGAAACGGAGAAAAAAGTAAAAAACGTATATGAAAATTCGCGAGAAGATAAAGCACACAGGTACCGTCCCGTATATATTATAAATAGCTCACATCATAACTATCACGTACACGCATCATAATTTATGTATACTCGTCGAACTGAGTTTTCACAAGAATTGGTTCAGCGAATCGCCACCGTGTGTCCTCGATTCATTGTGTATAAAACTACGAAGAAACAAAAATGGAAAAAAAAGCAAAGCGACAAAGCGCAACAGATGCAATAAGAGAGTTAAATGTCGACAAATTTTGGAATGTGTCTAAAAACATTTTTCCTATGGTGTTGTCAAGACGATGTTGAATGTAAATAAGATATAATAAATAATATACCTTATACGATGTAAAAAAAACACATTGGTACTTTGATCTTTTTTTCCTGTCACCAAAGTATAGAACCATATATTCAAAAACAAATTTCATAACAATATTTTGTTTACGTAAAGAAATGCCAATGAAAATATTTCTTTTTTTTCAATTCGCTCCGGGGCCAAAAACATTTTCCTGGCCATACCTGGTCTAAACCATGTGGAAAATCGTGTGTAGACTGACGATATAATAACAGACGACGACAGCGCCGTAACGGAAAGCGCAACAATAGCGAGGCAGCCATATTGCCATACAAATCATCAACATTTCACAGCAACGGAGCTTCGCCATCATTTTTTTAAGCGAAGAAGCAATATTTGCTACTTGCCGACGCAAGGCCCGATTTTCCAATTTCGGCCTTAAAATTTTATAAACAATTAAAGTGTGGAACTAGCGGGTGTCGTGCGCCAAGGTGTAACGAATATTTTTAAACCAGAATTGTTAGAAAATATTGCTAGATGAAAAAATCGTGCTAACCTAATCACCCTGTCCTTGTCTCTACTCCGACTGTTGTATCTCCTTCTCTGTCACAGCATCATTGGAGAGACAAGGATGTATCTATCCTTGTCTGCGAGCTTCCTATTTTTTTCGCAACTGTCGCTAAAGTCAACTCGGAGTTTGCCTCTGGCGACTCTGGCTCCTCTAGGATAGAGTTGATGGCTCATTAGTTGGTAGGTTGGTAGCAGGTTGGTAGTTGGTAGACGTGAATCTAACATGGTGAATCGAAAACGCATATGAATGGTAGTGAATGGCAGTCTGACTGTTCAGAAAAGGAGGTATTTTTACTTGTTTAAAATGAAGGAAATAAATTAATACGGGAATTAATCAATACGCCATATGTGTAAGGTTTACTTCAAATATATTGTGAAAATATGGCAGAATCTGTTGGACCAATACTTCATGTGATTGTAGTTGGATTTCATCACAAAAAAGGATGTCAAGTAAGTTACTGTTATTATTAAATTATTCTACTTTAACCAACTAATAACCTTTCTGTTCTTATGCGTCTGTATCTTTTATTGTATATTTTTCACAACAAAACATTATACAATGCATTAGTAAGTATGTACTAAAAATTTTCACAAACTGAAAATTTATTTTATTATTTAATAACATATTCCTGTCTATGATATACGAAATAGTATTTCAACTAAATATACAGTACTGTATCTACTTACATAGAAATATCTATATAACAGGAAAAGTTAACTGTTAAAGCGTTAAGCATATCGTTCAGAAAAAATGTTCATTCATTGTTGATATCGGTTCAAATAGAATCATACATTTATTTTTATTTGAAGAGATATATATATTTAACTATTTCATTGTATGCAAATAATTTGAATAGTAACTCTTAATATATTAGGTAGAATATTCATTTCCTCCTCTGGTGCCTGATGCTCCAAATGAATGTCCATTAGGATGGAAATACTTGCCAACTCTTGCTTTACCAGATGGATCTCATAATTATGACGAAGACACAGTTTACTTCCATTTACCTAGTCTGAATGATATAAAACGCACGATATATGGTATTTCGTGTTTTAGGCAAATCCCCGTTGAGGTAATTGCAGTTTCGACATAGCATCCTATTTCTCATATATGTATTTCATTTAGAAAGACAGATTTTTATAAAAGTATAATATAATATTTATTTAAAATGTAATGCATCGATGACAGTAGTGCCAATTACTAAAATTTTAGAAATTGAAGAATCGCACATCCGATATAACAAGGGGAACTGTACAAAAATCTGTTTGTGTGTTAAGCACATTACCGTTATATGGTCATATTCAAGTAAAAATGGCATTAATAACACATGCATACTTTGATGAAGGTGATTTCAGTAAAGTGTCGTTACTGGAAGATACTTATCATCATCTTAATTCTTGTATGAGTAGCGAAAGTCAGATACCACCACAAGTCTTTGTTGGTAATTATAAAATAGATGCAAAGTTTTTTGGATACTATAATTTTCTTGTTAGTTTATAATAGTTTGGATAAATATTTGATATAACCAATATTAATATTTATAGGATTATCTGCAAGAGACTTTATTCTGCAATTTCGTCATAAAGTTCTTCTGTTATTTAAACTACTCCTGCTAGAAAAAAAAATAGTGTTCTATCAATCACCTGTTCAACCATTGTGTGCAGCAATATTGACATTATTATCGTTGTATCCGGGTATGATTGAACATGGCTTACAACAAGCTGCTTATGTTAGGTAATGTACAGAGAATTAGATACAGGAAAAGAGATACTTTTTTTTTTTTTTATTATACTAACTATACAATTTATTTTATTTATTAGACCATCTAGACCCATGTCTCCTATTCCATCGTTTGATGACGAAGAAACATCGATAAACAAAGTTGATAACAATGTATCCTCCAGAAATTCTGTTAAAGATAACATATCAGATACACTGAAAGAACATGTTAATGGTAATTCTAATAAAAATTCATTCTGTATAAATGATAATAAATCTGTTGAAACCATGGAAGACAAATTCATAGATGGATTTAGAGATATGACTTTACAAAAGAACAACAATGAAAACGAAAATTTAAATATAAAAGTTATCGAGGTTGAATCTGGGCGAGAATGTACCGAGGCATATGGAGAAGAAAATAATTCTATATATTCTGAGAAACCAAATGACTATGTACACAGAGTACAAAGTGTAACTACCATTACATTAGGTACAACAGATACAGACAATACTCTACCACGTGATACAAGTAACGATGCACTTTCAGACGCACGTTTAACAAATAATATTACTCGAATTGCTCATATAAATCCAGAACTTTGTGGCTTACCTTTAGATCTGTTTACAAAGGTACGAGAATAAAGCCAACTTTACTGTTATTGTAAATATATAAAACTAAACTAACTAAAATAATTTCTGAATTTTCACTAGGGTTATTTATGTTTACCATATCTGTCCTTGCCATATTTGGATCTTTTGGCAGATATTAATGTTAGAGGATACATAGTGGGAGTAACAAATATTTTATTTAAGCAAAAAAAGCAACTTATGGATGTATTAGTAGAGGTAAGTTTGCATTAGAATTTTTGTTTATTATATAAAAAACATCTTTTAAATCAAATGACCAATATCTTTATCATAATATATAAAGGTTGACATTACACGGATAGAAGCAACTGATCCAGAATTGAGAAGGCAACTACATCTAACAACAGAAGATCTGAGATTTGCCGATTACATAGTTAGACATGTAGCAGAGCCTCGTAAAGATATTTTCCTGGATGGTGTGGGATGGGAAGGTGGAGATGAATGGATTAGAACTCAATTTCGTGTCTATTTACTGAGTATGTTGCGAACATCCATGCAACAAGATACTCGTCAGTCTGATCATTACAACTCTGCATTTATTGCTGCTTGGCGTTCCACAAATAACTATAAAATGTGGAGTAGTTCTAATAAACCAGAAATCAATAATATAGAACCTGGCCATCCATTTGCAGGACAATTATCGGTACAAGATATGAAATTGCGGTTATCACAGTAAGTAATATTGCGTAATATATCTATCAAATAAACGGTTATTACTAAGATATAAATGGTAAAAACAAATGATGCATGTATCGCAGTACAATGCAAAATACAGAAAGTGGTAGAAAGTTAAATCAAGCAATGGCATCAACTGGAAGAGCAGTTGCAACAACAGGAAAAGCTGTAGGTAAGCTGATTTACTATACATATATGCATTATATAAAATGTGGAATGCATTTTTTATAATACAATAATGACAATATACTTTATGTACTAGGTGGTGCACTTTCTCAAGCCAAAGGTGCATTCTCTAATTGGTGGAGTACGTTAACTACAGTTCAACCAGCAGAGGAAGGAAAAGGTGACAATCAAACTCCAAATATACATGAAACATTTTCAACTATGACTAATAATACTACTATAAAAGACGAAGAAATAAATGTATCAACAAATAACACGAGTCTAGAAGTTGTTGTAGATTAATGTAGAAAACAGCAAAATTTTAGTCATTAATTACAGTGGCTATAAGAAACTTTTTTAAGACCATATGTAAAAGTGATCCTACACCTATTCATACTTTGTAAGATGCTAATGTATAAAACAAGGAGGTTATGTATAACCGAACAAAATTCAGGTAAGAACAGAAGAAATAGTTGCAAAATGAATAGTATACTTAAATAGCGAGCTTGACCGATGTATTAATGTGATAGTTTTTATTAACATTTTGCATTAATAGGTTATGTGTAATATGTAATAACTTTTTTTATAATTCTTTCGTTGTTCAAACAGAGAGAAATTAATTTTATTTAATTAAATGTAGTTTACTAAAGATATATATCTACTGTTTAATATATATCTTTTATGATTTTATTTGCACAGAAAGATACTCTTAATTGAAAAGTACCTGCATCATTATCTTTTGTATATAGAAATATTGAGAAAATACGTATGTATATCCGAAAATTCCTATCAATTCAAACATTTTCTTTATAATTATTTGAGTATTATTGCAAAACATTCAAATGTACGATTTAAATATAATTTTAAAAATGTTTACTTCTATTGTTTAAAATCGATAATACTTTTAAATGTTTTATACTTATAAAACATCGATGTATTAGCGTGCAGTCTATAATATAAAAATTTCTCTGTGTGACGTAGTTATTCAAAACATGGAATACTAATTTCAATATACCGGAACTTATTGTGGTATACAGATCAGACAAAAATTACAAAAATGTTACTATAATAATAATTTCTTCTTAGAAGAAAATGTTTAAGAAATCTATTACAGTTTCATAACTTCCAAAACAAATGATTGTAATTTGTTATTTGTAATTTATTAGAAACTTAGATTCTATACTTGTAATAAGTATGCAGGTCTATTTATAATATAATAGATTAGTATGTGTTAGTATACAATGAATAATATACTATATTTCATTAAAGTAGGAAATGCATTTTCAAATTATTTTGCTTTCTCGAGAGATACTGAAATTTTTATTTATCTATATATATTTTTTTTTTTTTTTTTTCCTAACAACTCAGATTTATATATTAAATTTAAGAAAATTGGACCGTCATTAATGTGATATTTTCTACAATGCAATAAAAATGCATTACCTACTAGTAGACTTTATTCCACAGTGAAGATTTATTATACAATATATTGATATGAAATATTTAAACGATTAGGAGTTATATGTAGCAATTGTATACATTAATTTATTTTAAAGCATAAGTAAATTAGTAATTGTGATATTTTATTTTTATTCATCGATACTTAAAGAACAAGCTGTAAACACGACATAGTAGTTTCTGCAAAAATGAAAAATAGTTATATTTATTTAAATATTTAAGTATGTGAAACATGTTGATATAAGTCTCACGAGTTATAGGGATTTACACAAAATTCATTGTTATAGGAAATTTCTTAGTGTTTATAGAAACCAGAAATTTATATGATGAAAATTGATTAATTGGTATAACTGTTATAGAGAATCTAAAAAAAGTGTACTAATATTAGTGTTCTAATATCAATTTTTGTATCGATTGCATATCTGTTCTATAATAGTTCTGATATCAATTTATTAGATAATGAAACTCTTTTAATCACGTCTATATGGTATTAGTGAGTAATATAAATTTTTATCAAAATTGCTAGATATATACATTTTTCAATTTCATAAATTCATAAATATACGTACAAATCTACGAGCTCGCCAAATTTTTCATCATATTACACTAATACTATTGTATATGTGTAACAAACTATTTCAGTTTGTAAGAAATCAATAGGTTCTCATTTTTTAGTTCTTTATAACAGTTATTTTATATGTGCAATGGTTCTTTATAAATATTTCACCAAGAAGCTTTATATAACAATGTGAAATAGTTATTTATAGGCAGATTTCAAACACTGATATAAACACAAAATGTTTATATGATAAAATTGTGTTCTACTAGTCATCGTATATGTATTATACATTTTAAGTATGTTACACTGAAATTTGTTTTATAAAGTATGTAGAATAAAACTTACATCTTATTAATTGTTATTTAAGTATGAAACAGGGTTACATAAATGTGGTACATGAAATGCATTTTATATTTAACACAACATTTCTTTATATCTAAGCTTGATTCGTTACATAAATATCATCCATCATAAAATTTTTATTTTGCTGTTTTCCCATATTTAAATTTGTTAACATTAATGAATATTTAATTAATGAAAATTAATAATATAGTTTGAATATGGATGTATGTATAAATATGTTTAACATTTATACATACATACAAACATTTTCTGTGGATTTTGAATTGTAAATGCTATCGTGTTTACATAACATTTGATCAGAAAAGTAAAAAGAAAATAAAGGATTGAGAATGATCTTTACAAGACTTTAATTTTTATTTATACCAAAATCAAAGATGATATTAATTGTTGATACATTTTTGTTACTTACAATTAGTTTGATATACATATTTTCCATGTTTGTAAAGCAAAGGTATGCAAATATTTATATAACAATAGAAGTTATTTATTATTTGCCATATGACTGTGTTACATAATTATAATGGCGCAACTCGTTAGTTTTTATTTCATAAAATGTTAATGTTGTTAAAGGAAAAAAAGTAAACTTTTTTTGTTTTTTTTTTTTTTTTATGGTCTAGAATTTTGTAATAATAAATGACACTATTCGTAACACAAAGTCTATTTTATTATAAACATTAACATTACGTTCATATGTCAAATCAAATCAAATAAAACTAAAATAAACCAAAATAATACTAAAGTTTAATAATGATATTTTATAAATGTATCTATACTATAATGACTATAATGTAACAATTAAAAATATTGTAATCCATTAGAAAAAACGTTAGTGAATCAGAATAAGCCACAAATTAAATAATAATAACGAAAAACATTACCCGGTGGCACTAACCAATGACTGAAATCGTATCCATTACAAGCGAATAGAGTAAGAGAAAACAAACCAATCACAAGAAGGAATGTTCACATTTCGTATTTCACTCTCACTAGACCTCTGCAACATGATTACATATAGTACTGCGTACAGTCGTAGAAAAGAAATTATAGCGGAAACAAGATGATTCGTTATTACGAACTACTTATGCCAAGGTTTTCCTTTTCAAACTGAGCCGTGGCCCTCAACAATGAAAAATCTTATTCTAAACCGTGGCGTAATTGAAAAAAAAAAGATTAAGAACCACTGGTGTACCGTCTGAAAGTATCAAAGCAATAGAATAGAATAGAATAGAATAGAATACGTAAACGAAAAGAAGCACCGTTTCAGTGGGAAGCATGACTGGTCGTCAGGTCGTCAGCCGCCAACCAGCAGCAGCCGATGGGCCGAATAAACATCGTAGTTCACCGATAATAGCCGAAGTCGTAAGGTGGCGAACGAGATTACTGATGCGTGCGAGCAGTGGAACCAAGTGGAACCGTGCAAATGTATAGTGGAAGCGACGTCACTGCCAACGAGAGTACGTACAGAAAGAAAATCGGGTGATTTTATGACGCTGACGGTCCGTTGCTTGTTGGAGTAATTATTTCGTAATAAAGCACAGTGTCGACGAGTGCTGATGCACAGCGTGCGTGTATACGGTAGAAAAGAAAGTGGTGTCGTACAGTATTCGATGGAAAAAATGTAGTATGCGTACTCCCGTGGAGTAGCAAGTACTGCGACTATTACGTGTGTGCCGGCGTTTAGAATATAATATATCCGTACGTTTCGTCGCGTAATCACGGTTTTTCGTCGCAATAGTAAACCAACGAAACGGACACGAAGAGTGAAACAGCGTTGTTTGTGTTTTTACGCTCGGCTACTATTCTCGCGAAGCGTAGCTATGCGAGAAACGGATAAATCGGTAACTGGCGGGCGGCAGCCATTTTCCAGATGAGTTTTTCCCCTTTCTTCCAATAAGCAAAGAGCGGTATGTCGTGAAAGAGAAAGAAAGAGAAAGGTAGATGGCCGGATTGGGGGACAGAGAGAAAGAGACGGATATGAAGAAATGGGAAGAATAGTGGTTATTATGTGTCGCCAAGTACGTTGAACATACGGGGCTCATAGTGATCGGCCACCGAAATTCACAAACGTGCCAGCGTGTAGTTTTTCTAGTTAATGAGCGATTAACCTTGTATTGGCCGGTGCGAAGAAGATAGAATTATCTAGGGAAGTGGCGAACCAGAGACAGACAGTGAGAAAGAGATATATATACATATATATATATATATATTATATATATTATATACATATATATATATATATATATATATTGCACAGACAATACACAGACCCCCCATTGCCGCGCGTTCGGTCATCCGTTCGTAATCACGTATCACGACCGTTCCTGTCTCTGTCATGATGTCAGGCCTAGTTTACGAGTGGCTTGCTCTTTGATTTCAGCAGCCATAAAACAGTGATTCGCAATTTATCCGCGTACGGAAATTCCGATTTATTCTCTGTGATAACCTCAAAAGTCGCGGAACGAATACGACGTTTTCTAGGCGTCATTGAGAAAAAATCGAGGTGAAGCTCTCGTCGATCTAATCGTGCGACGTGAAAACGACTTTGTGTATTGTATCGTGTTTTAAGGCGATTCTTGTGTCTCTGTTACGGCATTTCGCTGCACAACAGGTACACGATCGTGTTTCAAGTGTTTGGTTTGATGCTTCTTCAACTTGCATAAATAACCTTGATCGACGCTTACAACGACGATATATCGTTCTGTCTTCACTCTACCATTTCGTTCGTTTTCCAAGAATTTACAAATTTCTCCTTGGTATTTTTATTGGTTACCCCTATTTATATAAACTTTTGCCATCTCAAATATGCCATCTATAATATCAATTTTTACTTAATCTATCGCTTTTTACTTACAATTAGTGATGTTTGTGTTTTTTCTCTGTAGCCTTGGGGCTAATATGGTAGTCATCTTTTTCACACATTCTTGTTCTTTTATACAAATTAGATTACCGGTCAGCACATTTCCTTTTTAAAGAAAAAACAAAAAGTATACGGTTCTTGCTTTGAGTAAAAGATTGTTTTTAATGTTTAAACTTTAAAGTGTGATTCTGAAATTATACAACATTCAAATATTGCTTTTTACAGATACCAATGATTAAATATGCATACATACATATATTGCACAATTTTTATACACACGCTCCAAAAATTTGTAATTCTATTCAATTTTATTAGGTTAAACAATCATATTTAGTTAAACTATTAAGTAATTTTTTATTTTAAATTGTGCAGATCATTGCTACATTTTAATTGGTATTTTTTATTATTAAAAAAATTTATTTTATGTATTTATTAGAAAGATCACTCTAAATTGTTGCACATGTAAATAGGAGTATTCAATTTAAATGGAAAGGAGCTACACTTGATATAAAGTTAGAAAATAAACTAAAATTAGCTTAAAAAAAGACAACAACAAAATGGATCCAATTTTCTTTAATATTTTATAATTACCATATTTCTTAATCATTCTTTGTAGACGTCTACCTATGGAAGTAACTTATTCAAATATAATAATAAATATGTAAATATACAATCGTTGGAATTTCTTGATACTCTATAATCAAGATAGTGTTGTGAGATCAATAATGAAACAGGTGCTCTCATTGGTGCAATACGATTCAACAAAACTGAGAGTTTCTTTATCGATTACAAGGAGCTCATGAAAAGTGCATCGAGAGTGCATATCTCTGACAAAGACATCTGTGATGTGACATAATTGAACAAGTTGGATATCAGTGTAATAATGTAGTGCCAACTTTGCAGATGGATAAACAGGGATGACTGATAATTGCTGGAACTCTGGTGGTGGTAAGTTTCATAATACTTGTATCGTGCGAATGAACGTTTGTAACTACCATTGTAATGTACATTCTATACTTTAGTTTGTTACAATTGAAAAATATTTAAAATACAAAGTACTACTTTTATTTGTAGTAATTTTAAAGAAGTAGATTAAATATGCTTTTCTTTTTCAAGATTAAAGCTCAGTTATATTACATTATTAATGTGTAAATGTATAACAAATTTAATAATTTTGATAATCTATACTTGTTTATTTAATTTAGGTATCATTTTTGTATTGTAGCAAACGTACATTCTTACTTTCTATCATATATGTAATCAAGTATAAACAGTATAAAGTATTAGTAAGATACGTGTCATAGAGCTTTAAACTATTACCAGACCTAACCCGAGTACAGAATACAGGTGATATTGAACAAAGATATTCACTTAGGAAAACATTGTAAACATAACCCATCGAACTATAAAATACTACTGTGAATTTAATATTGCATGAAAATGATTGTATCGATGATATTCAATTGAAAGTATAACAAATGCAAAATGTAGCGATATAATCTTTTATCTATGAGCATCAACTATAACATTCATTGGTATTTTGTTTAGTTGAGCTAATGTTTTACTTCCTAGCATGATAAAGTAGAATTATTTAAATAATTCCCTTTGTGAAAAAATGTACTTTATTTATTATATGTTTATATAGAGGTTAAACCAATGTAGCTACAACAATTGCTTTTTCAATATTATTTACTGAGATATAAAGTTAAAGGTCTCAGTCAAAATTTATTACAATTATTACAAATATCTTGGAAGTAAATTGGCAAAGAATGACGAAGAAAAGAACATTGGCTATTACATACAAAATCAAATAAATTATTATACTCGGCTCGATATCAAATAATTACAAAACAAATAAAAAAAAAGTAATTTATTTAATTAGGTAACCCTATATTGTTTTCGAAATAACAATATAGGTTTCTTTTTATCTAAAATATAATTACAATTATTTTTGTTAATAATATTTGTTGGAAATTTTCTCGCTTAACATTTACTAGAAAGTTTTAAATGTTAAAGAAGGTTGTACTATGACTCTTCTTATGAATTTTATTCTTTTTCTTTACTAAAAAAAACGGCACAAATTTTTGTTCGTTGTTTACGTAATTTACAATACTAGGTTTTCTATATTTCCCAAAGCAAATGCGTCATAATTGTTTCGAACAGATCAACATGCGTCACGATGATGGATACCGTAATCGGTTACTCCTAGTGAAATGCCTGCCTGCCTTCCTTCCCTTCCTTCCTTCCTTCCTTCCTTCCTTCCTTTCTTCCTTCCTTCCTTCCTTCCTTCCTTCCTTCTTTCCTTCCTTCCTTCCTTCTTTCCTTCCTTCCTTCCTTGCTTCCTTCCTTCCATCCTTTCTTCCAATTGGTTGGCGCCATGTTTTCGTGAAACGGCGAGCGCGAAACATAAATAGAGCATACTTTGAACAATATTACTTTTACCGTTCGTTCGTAGTAGTATCTCGTGTAGATTTGCGTCAATTAAGAAAAACGTAGGAAAGCGTGTCTGTCTTCTATTTATTCTCAAAGACGTAACAGTATGCATAATAAGTACAACTTAACCGTTGATAGTTTAGTGTTAACACGTCAACTAGCACTCATGAAAATGGCCGCGAGGCTATAATTTTATTTCGAGACAATTGGAGACTATTTCATTCAACATCTTCGACAGTACTTATCTTTGAAACCTGGTGAAATTCACAAATTTTATCGAGATTTATTTTATTCGATACCTTAACTTCGAAATTAAGTCTTTCTGTTCCTTAATGCAAACACCGGTCGTTTATATTGTGAGTAATTGAATAGATGCCATTGTGGTCAACATGTTAACTCTTTGCACTGGAAGTCATCCCGTTTCTAGATGTGCAAACAGGATTCAATTTACGTCGTATTAAATAGTGTAACTTGGTGTAACTGCGTGAACCATGCAATTTATCGTAATAATATTTGGTTTGTATGGATTTTTAAATATCAAGAGACATATTGTCTGATAATGTAAAACAGTCATCGATACGGATTGAAAGCTCTTTCTTAGGTTATAGGCTTGCTTGTTAATCTTCTTAAATTGTAATGTTACTTATAAAAATGCTCCTTATCAGTTATACGTAACACATGCTCGTATTTTTTTATATGATATCTCAGTATGCGTACCATATATCGATTTGCTTTTTCGTATCATTTAAGTGGATCACTTGAAGGAAATGTAAAGAAATGTCACTAACGAAGATTCCTAGACTTATGATCTCTCCTCAAAGAGAACATCCAAGTGCAAAAACCGCTAATATTTAAAACTTTTATTTGTTAAGATGTAAAGATACACAGAATATTAAAATATAACGTTTCTTTACATTAATTTTTAGAAATTTCAAAAGTGTATTAATTACTGTAAAATTATTTTATTCGGCCAAGTAAAAATGTCGTCGAGTGCAAAGGTTTAACTCTTTAAGGTTAGGTGAATTAAAATCTCGTCAATCATTTGTTTAGCTTCGATATTGTCTCTAAGCTCTAAACTATCCATTGAGTTGGGTAATTTTGCATAAGTGAAAACAGAAATTTATATTATAGAAATTAAAATCCATTAATCAGTCGTTGACTCTATTCTTCTGTGTAGCATGAGTTTTATTTTTCTTTTAAATCGTTCGTGAATCGCGTCTCAAAAAACTAATACGTTTAGCGACGAACCGCACCCAAATGGAACCCGTGGACGTTCTCGCGACAATGATTATTCTCAGACCTGATTTTTTATCATAGATATCATCAATTTTTTATTCAAGCGAACACAATTGTCGAGTCAAACCAATAATACTCGTGATATCCCGTGAATTGTTTTCTAATAAGGCATTTAGGTATTTTTGTTTTTACTCTGTTTTAATTTTAGGTATTTTTTTCTTAGGTATTTTTGTATTTTTGTATTTGTAATGACAAATTTCTCTCTTTCTTTATATACATATGTATACACATAATTTATTTAATAATATAATAATTTAAAAACATTATTTTATAATTAATAAATTAATAAATTATTACAATGATCTTACAAGTATACATTATAGTTTATTTATGAATTAATTTTAATATTATATTACTACCGTAAAAAATAATATTTTATTAGCATTTTTATTTTCGCAACAATTCATTTTTAATTAACTTGACGCGCTACATTTGAATAACTTGTTATTTAAAAATAACTTTTGTTTTTACTCTGAATTTAATCCATTTTTACGGTAAATTTCAATGTCGAACACGACATTTTTCCGTTTCGATCAATCTACCTCAACGATTATTCATCTTAGCACCGATTACTTATGAGCTAACTGTGCTAATAAAAGATTTCCGCATAATCATACGAGGAAGTGTGCCCGATTTCAATGGAGTGACTCTGGTGACTTTGCACACAATAGGCGCACCGTCCACCTGCCAGTCTTGTTTAATGACCGCAGGGTAGATATACGCACGTGTGCTCTGTCCGAGACTCCCAAAAATCTGTACGGTTATTATTGTTTTTCTATTCAGTACAAGCCCTATGGTATATTTCTAACGAACCGACTCGTATCAACCATAGAGATAATATCTGTATGTGTAAAGAAAAGACCATCGAGTGTGAAGGCCCTGTGACATACTTTCGTCCTAACCTAATTGTAATTGTCACAGCTGTTGCATGACTTTGCTTGAACATTGTTGACGACCGTAATAATCTGAAATCCATCTTCGGAATTGAAAATTTATTCGGCTCTTAGTCCTTAGATTGCTTCTGTCTTTCGTTCGATTATTTTCTAGTTGATTTACTATTTCAAATATTTCCACGTATTTTCTTTCATGTTGATTTGTCAAATTCTATGTATTTTCATCGATCTCGATATCCGTCCAATATGCTTTATTCCCACCGGTATTAATTCGGATAAAGTGCCACCAGATGGCACTCTTCCCTTCAAAAGTCGCCAGGAACGTGAATTGTGTACAAGATCATTCTATTAGTTGAATAATGTACGCATATAATAGTATCTATATATTAGGATTAGGATAGTTGAGTGAATCGAATAACTATCCAAGCGTTGAAACGGATTAATGACCACACATGTAAGAGAACATTAACTTTTATACGTTGCATACTTGGCAGGAAATAAACAGTAGCTCAACAAAAAGCTAGATTTCTTGTCTCTGGTACATTTATCCATGCAGTTGTCTTATGAAACCGTTGTTTTTCGATAGTAACTTTGTAACATCAAGTTACCGTGGTATTATCCAGCAAAACTAAATAAATACATACTAAAAGTAACGCTTTCATAATCAGTAAAGTAGAATCACACAACAGCGAAGTGAGTAGTATGAAAGAAGTTGGAGCCGAGGGAAATATTAAATGGAGGAGGATGTAAAGGTGAAGGAATGGTAGATCTCGATGAACGTAAAGAAGGAATCGTAAACAGAGAGAGGTTAAAAAACGGTTTAGGCGGGAAGGAAGGGAAAGATAGATGGAGTTAGGGTAGGAGATGAAAGCAGATCAGTCGATAAGTAGGAGAACTATGGAGCGATAAGTTAGGGAGCTGCATGAGGAGATCGCGACTGATAGACAGTCAGAATAATATAATATAGTTTTTGGGAATGTTAGATAATTATAGATCCAGAATCGTTAGCGACGACACGAGTTAATAAATACTTGCGATAATTTGATCTGGTTGATCTTGTGATAGCGTTGGTGTACGTAGTCGGTGGTTTTCATTTTAGTAAAAGCAAGACGAGAATGCTTGGTGATAAGGTGATTTGACTAGATGAATGTTGTGGAAAGGTTTTTGTTCGTGCTTCATCAGATCGATTCACATATTTCGTGTTCATACTTGATCAAACAGCTTCCTTTAATTCTAGTAGTTGGAGACCAAGTTTTATTTCATGTAACTTGTTGTTCTAGGCGCTGGCGTCAAGATGGAGCACTTTCAGGCCACCCTGGACCCAAGGAAGCAGGAGTTATTGGAGGCACGCTTTCTCGGAGCAAGGGTGAGCTACATTTTCGGGTGCGCACGCGCTCTCGTATACTCTCTTCTTCGATACGTTTCTCTTTTTCTTCTTCGATCTTTGGTCTCACCTCACACCCCACACCCCACACCACACACCACACACCACACACCAGACACCACACCAATATCGTTCGTTATCTAATCTACGGTGCATGCGCAACAACGAACCGAGAAACAGTTCTACCACGAATCTTGAGAGGATCTATAGGGACACGCGGTTAAAAGTTTGTAATATTTGGTACGTTGGCAAGGAACGAATATCGAAAATAAATTAACGTAAATTATGGAAAGTTTTATTCCATATTCCGCGTCGAATCGAATTTAATTAAAAGTCATTATCTTGCTATGTATTAATGTGTATATTCTTCAAATTCGTAGGTTTTATTGATATTCAATATGGATAATATAAACATTGTCTGATGATCTTTTAAAATCTTAAATGGTGTCTCATAAGGTGGAGTTAGAGGTGAATCCTTTTGATGAATCCGCAGATAGAAACATGTGTGCAGCAGAGGATAACGTGGAATATTTCATTCCCTTCCCTCACGGGCTGTAGCTATGTTTCGTTATAGCTACAGTACGGGTTTAGCAATCCCGAGGTGCCCGAGCTGTAAGGAGGGCTAGTGGTCCCCAACATTCCTAATGGGGGATACCATGATAAAGTGAGACAGCATATTCGTATGTTAAAATCAATTTGCAGATAAAAATTGCTTTTGATTAGAGCATAAAAAATCCATTTAACTTGGTCCATCGAGAGGTTAAATTAATGTAAAGAACGAACAATCGTAAGATTAGTACACGAGGTGTCATAGTCAAGTTATACGACTTTGCACCCTTATACTAATCTAAACTCACTCACTCATCATATTCGATACCCTCGGCTCTCTAATTTATCATCATTTTCCTCCCCGCATTCTATTCTTTTCTGTCTCTTTAACAGGTGTCACCACTTGCCTCCGTGGTTGGTCCCCCTCCCCCTTCCCCCTCAACCCTCGCCCTTGCTCTGTATCCTCTCTGCCATTATAGCTTCCGTCTATATGTATATGTACTTGGCCCATGGCCGTAACAAGGGTCAGGATACCCTCTTTATCCAACTTGCTCACCCCCTAACTCACCGTCCATTTGCAATATCGTATACCAAACAAATAAAAATCGATAAACCTTCTGCTGGTTTTTATTCTCTTATCCGTTTCATGATCTTATAGATGATTGACCTAGTCATTGAAACGCTGGGTAGCATGAGGTTTTTCTTACTATCTCCGTTCCATTTTTCCAACGTCCGTCATACTATGTGACTTTCTCTTCTCTAGAATATTCTTGTACAACGGTTTTCCATTTCTCCACTATAGGGTGCATTACGTAAATTGGCGTACCAAGTAGTAGTCGAAACTTGCCAGTGTTTTTAAAAGGCCTTTGTATCGTGGGAAAGTCTACACCTTAAAAGAAGATTTTTTAAGTGTTGATAGATTAGGTATACCTAAACCCTGTTTGTTTTAGAAATTTGATCATTGTAAGTAGACAAACAATAACACAGTTAGTAGATTTCAGAAGTCATCCTTCAAAATTAATTATTATGTATGTATAGAATGCAACATGCAAAAAAAAAAAATCATAAAAAGTAATTATTAGCAAGAGTGGAGCCTAACTTGGACTACTGTTGTCCGAACGACGGACCCTTGTAACTCTCTTCGAGGCTATGGGTCGCTCCCCACCAAATCGATTGCTTTCTGTACCCGAGGTCAAGGACATCGATGAAATAGATGCTATACATATATCGTATTCCACGTACAATTAGGGAAGGTTTAAGTCACCGTTTCGCTAGTTTCGAATTTATTTAAAAAATACAAAACGTCAAAGTTTTATCTGTTTCCACTAAAACAGGTTACACTAGTGAATTTTTATCTCTGAAACTGTCAGCTTTATTAAGTTGTACCCCCTTTTTTTTTCTTCCTCGATAACTATTGGCCTTTCGGAATGGATTTTATTTGAAACAAAAACGACCATTTTTGCGACATGAAAATTGTAAAGCAATTCTTAGTCGATAATCCTGTGGATAAAAATTCCTTTTAATCATGTAAGCTGATAGTATCCAATGACAAGATGTTTGTAAAGCTTCCTCTGCAAAACGAAGAGTAACTTGTATCCTGAACCATTCATAAGTAACATCTCAATGATCTTGAAAGAAGGTATAGGGTAGTGTCCCGTTTCAGGTAAGCGACCCCTTGCGCCCCGCTGCTAGGATCAGCTAAAGCTAACCGTACCGCTTTCAAGTTATAATATTCCAATGAAGTTTACAATCGAAATCGGCAGGTCTCGTAATCTTCTTAACGATGCCATTTGTATCTTCCGACCAATTTTATTGGCCATCTATATTAATTTAATCAAGGGGCGCGAAATGGGCCACTTTAACGCGAATACGTTCTCTTTATACTTTAGTGTTCTCTTAATTCCCTAGAATTTCCGGCACAAGGGTAATAAACCAGGTAGTTCTCGAGATTATACCCCCACTCACTCCTTCGGCCCAAAATCGTGTAGAACCGTATTCATATTCAGTCTTCGGCAAACTTTTGCGCGCGCGCGCGCGCGTGTGTGTGCTTCCTGTAAAACAGCATAAATTAATTGTCCAGTGCACACATTCTGAAAATATTAGTTGTGTGAAATTACGCGAAACGGAGTGTCAACCGATACAAAAACACTTGTGATAACAATTAACAGACTGAGAATCATCGTAGTGGAAGTTAAGAAACAAATAAAACATTAAGATTGATTTTTAATAATAAAATGTAATAACAAATTATGTTAATAGTTTAATATAATAATGACTTTAACCATTTCCTGTTAGAGTATTTGAATTTCAAATAATTTTAATTATTTGAGACTAGCGAGAATCCCATTAAAGGCTTTGATCATTTTCTTTAGTGTTGCGAAGATAAATTAACGCTGTCATTGATCCCCTTACTCTTTGTTAAATTCATTGGTCAGAAATAATCGATGATTTTTGCTTAATAAAGTGTTGCACTCTGGTTCATAAAGAATCAAGAATATCCCTGTGTGTGATACCAACTTTTAAAGTGGCTTTAAATGTTGAAACTGCTAAAAATGATCACGTTCCGTAAACCTAGTGTTAATCTACCAAATGACAAGTGTGTATATTTATTGCCTAATACATTCGCCGTGAAAAAGGTCGAAGATTAATCGGTAAACCTACTATTTCTGACTAGTTATCGTTCTATCTGCAGGGAAGTGGAGTGTCGGTAATGTAGAGAACCGTGATAGGAATCGATATGAAAACCACCCTTTATCGCATAAGCAGCCAGAGTGGCGTGCGTGTAACAGCGTAACAGCCAACAATGAGAGAGCAGACGGGCGGTCGACGCGACGTGCCGTCTATTTATACACAACACCGGCCACCGGCTCTACTCGTTCAGTGGAGCAGCGACGATCGTGTCGCGTTCCCTCGCTAAAGACCAAGCTGTTTGTGGACGTTCGTTTCTTCCGCCAGTACCCTTCTCTTGATACCTTTGGTGACACTCTGGTTGCCCCTGGCGGATGCTACTTGAAACGCAGCTTCCGACGTTTCTAGTCTTCCTCGCTCGTCGTCCTACCGTAAACATTGAAATTGCTCTCTGACTTGCAATAAATCAAGTTCACTGAACTACATCGTGTCTTGGATCTATTTTCACCATTCTATTTCACCATTTTTACAAACGATGTAATATAGAGTCAATTATCACAACTAGTAACGTGCATCTTTTGAGAATCGTACGGACAGTATCTTTCATTTTGCCATCAAATAATATAGTAGTTTATTATACATATATTTAAATTCTTAAGGATCAAGGAACTAATGTTAACACTTTACTGACTGCCAACCAATTAATCTGCCTTTGGTCATGGCAACCGATACTTTGTTAATTGTTATTTGTAACTGAAATAGCACCGAATGTTTCCACAAAAGTTGTATAATACTACTATTATTGTCAAAATAAAAAGTATTATTAAATTTAATTACATGTTCAATCGCTACCAGTCGCTAAAGCGTTAATGTATTTATTAATCTTATTCTTTCTATTTGCTGTTGTTGTACGTCTTAAACGTGCTAAAGTCTTTACGCACAAAATTCTGTATTCGAAGAAATCCATCCACATCGTCACTGTCGGCCCTTTGCAGTTCAATGTCGAGTGAGATTCGACAAAAATGTACCGAAACCAGAAAATTAGAATCGCAAAGGGTCAACTATCAGTTTCTATCGAAGAAACGATACCACTTGACAATTATCGAGACTTCACCGCCGACACGCTTCCTGCATTCAGAGAATGCGATAGCGGAGTCTATTTAATATTACCAATGAACGTGTTATGTACCGACAATGTTTTCATCGACGTCGACATTGAACGACCTTATGTGTTGTCAACATACATATAGGACATGCATCGACGCCAATTTTTATTGACGCCACCAACTGCTTATCGATGCGTACTATCATCGACACTGTTTTCGTAGGGACATTTTTTCGTAGACGGAGTGTATAGTCTGTGCGCAAGAAGAATGCGATCGGCTACGCCCGTAGATTTCGTCACTCTTTTAACCCCTCACACTCAGGACCGTGTCTAGCTATTTTCTCGGCCGGGGAACGAAAATTAAATATCCTACTCTTTGTCCATTTTCTGCTTTGTTTACTGCATTGTTTCGTATCATTACGTAGGAAATCTGGGTTGCTTTGATACCGTTTTAAACATTCTTTTGAATATAATTACTTGAAAATTAGAGATTCATAGAAATTTGAAGAAAGTTAAAGATGCGTGAGCGCGTGTGTGTGCGTGCGTGCGTGCGCGCGTGCGCGTGGTTTGTGCAATAAACATGTATGTTAATGAAAGGAATAGAAGAAAAATTATTACACATTAGAATTTTAATGACTGTCAAAGTAAAAATGTCTAATTTTTAAGAAAATTTGGATTTCTAAACAAGTTATTTACAAGAAGGTTTTTTGTAAAACTCGTGCACCAACAGTACATGTATACACAGTTAGAACCACATCGATAACTCTATAGGCAATAACTTTGATTAAAATTGATTTAGATAAATGTTATATAATTTAAAAAAAGAGGGGGGGGGCGGACTACACATAGCATTATTGAATTTTGAAAATGTTCAATGTACACATTTCGGTTAAATCGGTCCAAGTAATAAGGTAAATTGATTTAGTTTGAAACAAGAATGATGATTGCAAAATTTAAACAAAAAACATATTGATACACAAAGAAAAAAATAATTACTGACTTGAAACTAATTAATTACTCATAATTATATTAATTATGTGTATTGAAAATTGAAATGATTGTTTATCATTTATAAACAGTATTCACAAATAGAACAGAATTAGCCCTATAATGCAGTTTAACTATATAAAACATAAACAACGTGAATTTAATTATTTGTAATAATATTATACGTCTATACACTTTCGTCACATAATTGTACATCATCGGTAAATCGAACCAATTCGAAATCATCTATAACGGTGTGGGTATTATTTATAATATTGTAATTGGATTAACCTAATGGAACGTCAACGACAGAAACATCTACTAAACGCATCAAACCAAATTAAGACTTGTCATTTTCACACGCAACCGCATAGTGACTCGCCCACAATGACATATCATTGTTCGCCACTGAAAGGGTTAACACTAAACTTGCCGACATTTCATTTATAGCTAATTCTACTGTGATCGATGAAATGGTTGGTATAGAAAACACTTTCTTCAATTGTGTGCAAAAATACATATTTCACCGTGACACTAAATTCAATAATACAAGAAACAATTGTATATAATTTGTGTATCGTATCGATACATACATACAAGATCTATAGACAATAGCTGAAAAACGGTCATTTGATCAATCGTAGTAGGCTTAATGTTAATATAATATTATCCAAAAGGTCCGTTACGAGAAAAGAAATTGAATTCCAATGAAAAAATGATAGAGTGAAAATGTAGCCAGGATGTACTCGGAACGTTTTATAGTAAAACGCGTATTAACGGAAATAAAAATTTGTGGAAATTCGTCACGATTACCAGATTACACATTAGTTGGTTTAGATCGTGTGGTAAAAACTGTCGTATTTTCTTCGCCGTGAAAAAGTAATCGTACGTCGCTGCGTGACCTACAGTCTTAGCGAGAGAGATTCATGAAAGCAAGCAAGCAAGCAAGCAAGCAAGCTGCTGGTGCATGTCCCCCGTATTGATCCTTTCGATAGTAAGTGGGTACTACGCGCATTGTATGGAAGGTTTATACATACCTACCTACCTACCAACCTTGGGAACTAAACACGTACGGACAGACCCGTGTTCGACGTTCCTGAAGCCTTTTCGAGTCTCGAAAAGTTGTAACCTCTTCCCGTCGGTCGGCGTCGTGTGCGGCAGAGTGTTTTTCCAGTAGTATCGATGGCCATCGCGGCCACACCATTCTCTGCTCGTCAAAACTGGTATCGTAGCTACTATTCTTTACGGAATTTATTGTCACGCACTGTGCATGAACCAAAATAACGAATTTAAAATTGCAAGTTGTAATATAGCAGAGGAAATTGGTACTTGTCTAATAATATTATAATTAAATATCACGAATGAATGATTAATTATATTACATGTATAAATATTTCATTGTACAAAGAGGAATTTTAATACGAGAAAACAATATTTATCTATTAAGATAATTATTTGTAACGCATAATTGATGCACCAAATGAATATCATGTTTTGCGATTATTCGCTATACAAAGTTAGGTAGGTTATGTAATATGTAATAACAGTAATTATATATGATACGATGTCGCGATTATGTTTCTTCGATTGATCGTACATGAATGGATACGCATAATGTTACTAGGGATATCAAAAGCCTTGTCTGACCATTGTAAGTAGACCACCGCGATTAATAGGTTACAGTATAAATGGCAATATGGCTATATTGACAATTTTTTTTTTTCTCACATTTTTAAAATTATACGTATCAGAAAAACAAGGCATATATTAATTACTTTGAATTCGATACTTAAATGATTTTCCTGTAAACCCACGAAAGCTTATTCTCAACCGTTAGCTAGTTGGATAGTTATCATTTTTCGAATGCCTTTAAACAGCTGTAAAACCGACAATTTTTCAAATTTCTTTAAATACTTTGAGATACGTTCAAATACCGCTTAAGTGATTTTCTGTTAACTCTCTATGGAACGAATTTTTTCTGCAGACAACTTGTCACGCGTTTGCTTGACTATATCTGATTGATAATGCTGTCAACTGAAAAAAAAAAAGAAAAAAATGAAATTACCCGATGAAATATCGATATATTAGCATGCTACCTAAAAGTTACACGGAGTTGATAAAAGTGAGTAATTGATAGTTACTCTTCGCATTCTGAATGCAAATTAGCTAAAAATTCTGAATAATATTTTGAACAACTGTAACGTTGTTCCGCGGTAAAACATTATTTTATCTGAACACGATCCGTCTACCAGCAGCTAGACAGGTTGCGCACCACTGGTGTAGATGACTCTTGAGAGCGAAAACTCGGGAAATGCAGAGTCCACGCGTGTAATGCATCGCGGTAACAGAAACCGCCTAGAGTTCACCTTGCAATCTGCATTACCGTCCGCTTTAACCGCCACGGTGAATTTCTCTCGCCGACTGCTGATACATCGACGCCTCAGTAAGCAAAGAAAATGTCTCCCTCGTCCCCTCCGTCCCTCGGTCGCGACGCGATCCTTTCCTCTTGACAGCTTGCCACAGTACGTCCACGTACTTACTCGTCTATTTATCTACTTATCTTGTAGATCTTTCCATTCGCTTATGCACGTAATTGCTTGGCCGACTATCTGCTTATTTGCGTATTCGCCTAGACAGCTGTCTGTCTATTTATATGATTACTCATCCGCTTAGTAGACTGCCCACTTACACAACCCGTTAATGTAGTTACTCGTTTACCTCTTCGTTTCTATACTCGTCCGGCATTATTATTGTCACTTCCGATTGCTGATGTTTACCGTGATTATTTGAACAAGATCGAACAACTCTCGGTTAGACGGGTATGTACCAGGTGCCGACTCGCGGTAATCTGGTGCACGATACGCGAGGAACGGATCTATCTTATCGTGCAAGACGGCCGTCTTTTTACCGACCGTCACACAGTGGTCAGTTTTAACCATCTGGCTAGACGAAAGCATGCGAAGAATGTTTTCTGGAAAACAAACGGAAATTTGGATAACTTTGTGAGCTAGACATTGGATAGGAAGCAACCGCGATGAAATTACCTTTTGTTGCTAAAGTAAACACTGTTTACTTCACAAAAGCTTGTATTCTTTTCTCAAAAAACACGTTACTTTGTTTATCTTAATATTCTTACTCACCGGTGGCCTATTAATCGGATTTTTTGACCGAAGTTTCTTTTGGGAGAGAAATGTCAGTTGAATTCGTCGCGTTGATATGTAAACACTTGATGTCGTCTAGGTACAATAACTCTCTCTTTTCAAAGATGCCCGCTGAAATTTACGTCGCTGACCCCTACCTCTTTCGTAAGCGTCGTCTGACTCATAACTTCAGACAATCTCTGTACGATGACGAATAAAAAAAATTGTCGCGTCACAGCCGCGCGTATGCCGCGAGGCTTCCGATTGGTAGAATGACATTGGCGACGCCGCATTTTACCCAGGTGCGGATCTGCCTGAAACTAAAGATGCTTCAGCTTCAGGGCACCTAACAGCAACCAGTTTATACATCTTTTCATTTAATTATTATCCAAGTGCATTCGAAGAAAATTAACTTGATTTTTTTTAAATATAGTGTAAGTGTAGTTTACACGAATAACCTACTTTTTACTCATTTTTTCTCCTTTCTTTTTTTTCTTTTCTTTTTTTTTTTCAAATTTAATATCTGCAAATACATTCGACTGGTAAGCATTTAATCTTGTTAGATGACCCGCGTCGGCGTTATTTCTATACTTGATAGGATTAAAATACAATTTCACGATACGATTTGTCTTTCACGAGGCAGATTTCACGAGAAAAAGAAAGCGTTCCTCGGGCATCAGGTCTCGATAAGTTTAGATCCGCTACTGATTCTACCGACTGAAAATCAGACCGCGTAAGTCTGTGACGTCGCAGAGGTGCTAAGCATTCCGATTGCTAGAATGCTATTTGTGACTTTCGTTCTACCAATCGAACACTCTTAAAGCGCTTCGCGCTATAATCACGTCTATCTGCACCGACATGATTTCCAACCGACCCGTGCACTCTGTCATTCACTCCATTAAGATATCTCCATTGTGCATTTCAATATTTTGATTCGTTTACTTCTGTAACACCTAATTAAACCAACGAATGGCCTAATTTGATTTGACGGCTCGAGGGATTTTTAGTTGCCGTAACTGGACTGTAGATTTGATTGAATTGTGGTGTACAGTAATTACAGAAGACATACAAAAACTATACAGAATGTATGTTCAATATATTCTACAATTAATAATATTTTTATTTCGTTTTGCGTAAGTACATACAATATACCGATACACCTATTGGTTATGTTCAGGGTGTACTTATTACATCAGTTTGTATCGTGAATCCGTAACAATTCGCAGCCTAGACATAACCTTTTTATCGCTAGTATTTATTTCTGTCCCTTACAATTAGAGACGCTTTTTTTTTTCTTTTTTTTTTTTAATTTTATTTTTGTTTAATAAAGACACGTAGAATCAATTCAGATGTAAATATTTAAAATGGGGAGTCAGTTTATTAGAACAATAGAATAAAATGATTGATAGACGGGGTACTATTAACCGATATTATTAAACTGGAACCATTTGTCTGTATCTACAGAGGTTAAAAATATGCATCATGTATATTTAAAATTAGAATAAACTTATTAATAATAAAATAAAAGCGTCGGTGGTAAAATCGATCTCTATTCGTTATATGTATGTATGTATTGTATTTCTGAACTACAAGGTGTCCCAAAAGTCGGGGAGGAGCCGGAAATGGGGGGTAGCTGAGACGATTCTGAACAACAATTTCCTTTGCAAAAATGTCGGATGGGGCTTCGTTAAGGAGATATTAAGCGAAAAACCCGACCAATCAGAGCGCGCGTAGATCGTTCGAGCGGCCGCGGTAGCGAAGGCTACGCGCTGGCGGCCGCGCTTGCACGCGAACAAGTGACTCGACGTGCATCGAAGGACATTGACGCTACCGCCTAGCGCGTAGCCTTCGCTACCGCGGCCGCTCCAACGGTCTACGCGCGCTCTGATTGGTCGGGGTTTTCTCTTAATATCTCCTTAACGAAGCCCCATCCGACATTTTTGCAAAGGAAATTGTTATTCAGAATCGTCTCAGCTACCTCCCATTTCCGGCTCCTCCCCGACTTTTGGGACACCCTGTATATTACACGTGTACACGATCATCTTATACTACAGACTACTAATACGTAACGAGATTTTTGTTTACTGTTTCACTTGTAAATTGTATCTTGTTAATTTATTAGAATCATCACGACATATACTCGTCGACGTACATTTTTATTTAGCACGTTCACTGCGGTAATAGAACATACATAGATAGATGCCTCGTATCGTATATCGTTCAAGGGCCAACCATGAAACTCAACAGCCTTTATTTACTATATACACTTTTTATCTCTGAAAAACATTTCCTTTTTTTCTTTTCTTTGTTTAAACAGTTACAAAACATCGCAACTACTTGAGTATAAAATCTATTTTAAAGCAATTTAAAATCGATACCTCCAATTATAAGGTTTTATGTTACAATAACCAACCACGTATTATAGGTCGACGAATTTGTCTAAAGAAATGCAAAATTTTCTTGTTATGGATAAAAATCTATAATATTCTATTTAAAAAAAAATTAATTTCTTTTTCAAATGTCCGCCATTACTTTACTTACAACAAAATTATTTACGCCATGTAATTTGTCCATTTGAAGCAAATAACTTTTGTACAAACATTTCCGTCGTTTTATAGCTTTAGCTTATTATTAGATATTTATCCATTCCGATGTAAACTCAACAGGCTATACATAGATATCTGTGGGTATAACCGTTCAGAGGTGCAGTATTCTCCCCTAGGAATTAACGCGTAGCTGACGAGCTGTCATCGGACGCCACCTACTGCACGGAGCTTAGCCCCGAATTACGGGGAATGAGATACCATGTGCAAGTAGAAAGTGTATACTGTTAGGTAATTTCTGCTTCGATGCAGGACTTGTACGAACACTGACTTGTAAGTAGGTCTAGCGATGAGTAATTTCTAATAAATTATCAATTGATTTTCTCGCTTCCCTTTTCATCTCTCGATATAACAAGTAGATATTGTTTTAATAGCGAGATCATTGAAATGGAAATTTCTTCATTGAATGTAAATTTTAATGAACGTTACGGCCATATTAGTTACTCTCAGAGTACAATGAACTTGTATAAATAATATACTGTATGTTAACATTAAATATTACCAACGTGAAATGGAAGTTGACATTTATGGTGTTACATTGTATGTGATTATACTGTTTAAATCGAGTTTAAAAGTAAAATAACTTGGCAATCAGTCGAGAATATCATCCCTAGACGGTCGATATTATTTGCCAGTAGTATTCGTTCGATGTTCCACAATAATATTTGACCGTGTGTCGAACACCTTAAAGGCACAGGTTTCCAACAGTTGAGAGCTGTTTATTTATCTTCGCCTTGCTCGCATCTGAGGACGTTGGGCACGAGAGTGAGAAACAGTGAAAGCGAATGAGATACAGTTAACATAGTGGGGATAACTACGCGACGTAGAGGGACAGAAACTCGTGACTAGTGACTCGTGATTCGTGACTCGTGACTCGTGACTCGTGACTCGCCAAGACGAACATTATTCCCCGCAAGCACCACCGAGTCTCTGCATCTCCCCGTAAACCCGATCGAACAACGACTTTACACGAAACGGATTTACATCCAACTTGTAACACGATCTACACTAGCAAACATTTCAACTTTCAAAATGTTTAAATGCATAAAATATATTATTCGTGCGTCAATTACTTGGATATACTTTTTGCTCGAGATGTGTTCTCAACGTAGAAGCTGAATAGGGTGAAATATGAGAGAGTGATTCTTGTCGCGTTTCTTCGAAATTACTCCGAGTTTCATAAACAATTTTTCCGGTCTTTTTTTTCTTCTTCTTCTTCTTCTTCTTCTTCTTCTTTTTTTTTTGCGACAGAGAGGTCACCTGCAGTAACCATCTAGTGCCACAGGGACGAACTAGAGGATTCGATCGTTACTGATTTACCTACATTAAGTGTTTGGTTGAGGTTCATATACTCGAGCCCCACCCTGAATGTTATTTTTCGTCCACATACAATATAATCTGCAAAGAACACGAACGGAATATTTTCAAGCGTACTATTCAACACATTCCAATCAATTCTAAAGACTATTTTTAATTATCACATGATACTCTTATTTATTCCTTCTTTTTAAATATTCAAATAATGTTCAAGTACTCGATGATACGAGTGACATAACAAAGTCGAAAACATTCATACGTCAATGAATAATAAATCGTGCTAGACTAAATTGTTTCGCAACCTTTAGAAATTTTTTAAGTAGAGTTCACGCGTTGGCTTTAAAGAAAATTAATTGCATTACATCATTAGTGTTTCTTTGGATTTGATAGCAGCCTGGTTATGAAATGAATAACGCGTTCCGTGCCACGCCAATTTCACGCGATTTTTCCCATTCACGTAGCATTATTCATCCATGAATCATATAAAGCATATAAATATTTTTATTGTAATTCTTCCAAATCTAAAAATATCATCAAGAAGAAGTAATTTATAAGATATACGATACAGCAAGATTAATTCTGTCGTATAAACAATTTATAAACACATATACGTAAAGTTTGTTAAAAATAATCGTTATTAAATGTTGCTATTTTGATGTTACAGTTCCTTCTAAATTGGGTATCGAACATTTTCATGTATTATTGTGATGTGTCTGACAACGTCATCCTTGCGGTCGTCAATGTGGTTTTTCACTTTTTCAATTCGTGACACTTTCTTATCGTTGTTTCAATTGTATGAGATTTCGTTAGAGATACGAGGCTCTTTTGATTCGTTTGATAATAGTTGTTCGGCCAACATTGTCGGTGTTTCGTGTAGGAAAAGGTCGACACACCGAGTAGGTTAGACACGTGACCCACGGTATGATAATTGCGCTAGACATATCGATTAAATATTAATTGTGAATTATATTTGACACGATAAGTCCTGACAACAGTTTTAAAACGTTTTCGGGTGAAACGCCAAATCTTTTCGGCATGTTAATATTTACAATAATACTGAAATAGAGATGAACAAGAAAATTGACATTTTCAACATTAATTTATATAACGGATAATGTCGTAGAAAAATAAAAAAGAAACTGTAAGAGTAATTGTATTTACTAGTATCAAAATAAGTATTGCAAAAATATTTTCTCTTTCTTTACTACATTCAGTAATAATTTGTACATTGTGAATAATTGTTAATTATGATTAAAGTTTGTAAATGATTATCATTACCACCAGAAAGCAAATGACTTTGTTATTATTAATTATTATTCATGTATTTTTCTGCAACATAATTCTTCATAATTATCGAAAATGTTAATTTTTTTATTACTTTGATCTGTATACTTTTTCGTTTGTTTAACAAGAAAATATTGCTCGTGTGAATAAAGAAAGTCTACATTTGTACAACAAGTATTCATTAAAATTCTATTATAGTAAAAATGAACTAATAATATCAAAATATTTGATATGACACTATGTAAATGGGAGGGTGTTTTATTTATCATAAATGATCAATTACAATATACCAAATGGGTTTGAAATTTCAATCTAAAATGTTTTACTCGCCAATGTTACTATCGTATCAAGTATATTTTTGTACAAACAAGCTATTATGCCAATCATTGTTTGGATATTACAAATTATTTCACAATAATGTTTCTCTTAATAGCGAAAACTACAAGCAGCCTAAACGGAAAGTCCATCGTGGGTCACGACCCGTGCGACACGGAACGTGTTAAGGATAGCCTTCTTACATTACCACTGACCAAGTAATCTAGAGACACCCTGTATATTATGTACACTACCATCCATAAGTATCCGGACACTTAGGAAATTCAGGTAAATACCGTATTAACGTTACTATAATGTAAATATTTGTCAATGGAAATTATCAGTTGAAAGTCTGTTACGTGGGTATCGAAATTGTATAATACCATAGATGTTCTTATGATGCAGTGATGTAAAGAAAATTAATTATTTTTGTTTGTATATCCGCTTTTGTGGGAAATTATTGCTTGCATTAACCGTGGTAGTTTAGCAATCATTTGTTTTAGACATGTCTATTTAAATTTTTGAAAATTGTCCAAAGTGTCGTTTCCGAATTTGAACGTTCATTGCCAATTTTTCTGTTTAATTTAGATGTTACATTATGTAGCATTGTTATGTATGTATGATGCGTCAAGGGTGGGTTTTTTATTGGATTACCGAGACACACGAGACACTGTACATTATACATATGCACCATCATTCAGAAGTAATTACACTTTCCAACATATCACACATCGAGTATTTTACCGAGAAAAATTAAATAAACAAATCTCTCTCTCTCTCTCTCTCTCTCTCTCTCTCTCTCTCTCTCTCTCTCTACTATAGTATAGTATATAGTATAGTATAGTATAGTATGTATATTTATATAGTATATAATATAGTAATTACATAATAATTAATAATGAAAAAAGTAATGTATATTTTACATACTATGAGAAATCGTCTCGGTTGACTATTCCGTGGCTTCGATAATGGTTCCCTCGCTATTGTATTCCTCGCAGATCCAGTAACAGTGAGCGTTTAAGTATTGGGATGCTTGTGGACAGTAGTGTGCATATACATATGCATTTGAGAACTCAATGACACTACGGCTCGATAGATTGCGCAACGTGCGCAGACGCGCGGAAAATCGAAGAAAACAAGAAAGAAACGCCTAAATTTATTAAACACTTCCAAGGGTGAGACGTTCGCCTGGACTCGCAAACACCTCGCAATTTTCTCGTACATAAACTGCAACCTGCAACTATTGATCATGGTCTGCAATTTTATATATTTCGAACATTTCGATATTAATTAAATTCTTGTAAGGAAACAACACACTTTACCCAGTCCATCGTGCAGACATTTTATTCTTATTGGTACGCGCGTAGAAAATTGTTTTTAATTTTCACGATATTATTGTCCAGGCTCGAACATAGTCTTATTATTTTCCATCGATAATGAAATATTTATAGATATATAGATTTTCTGATTTGTTGATATTAACTCACTTTCTTTTTCATTCGAAATTAAAATCGCATGAGTATCTATGGGCATTATTTGGCTGTTTGTATTGGTATGTTAGTTATATTATTGTACCTTCTTAGCAATCTTTTTACTTGTCTCGAGACATCTAAGTAGGATTCAATGTGCTCATTGATATTTTATTTATTTTTTTACCAGACTAAACAGCGATCATTTTGTTAATTAAGGATTACTTATTTAATTGGTTACGATTCGTTCTGAAGAGGGTAAAAACCACCATCGAAACTTTCATCCCATAGGATTGGCATTGGTTATCTACGAATAAATCTAGATATTTATGAATTTCTCCTGATTCTTTATTAAGAAACAACATTTGCTCAACTGTGATTGGCTGAATCTGGCCCGCGGACCATAGTTTTCCGACCCCTGATGTAGAGAATCTAAAGTGGCGCCGCCGCACGCTCCAATTCCTAAGCTGGTAACGCCGGGAGACTCGAGAGCTCTTTACCTACAACGTTATTCACTTTGTTAGTTCATGTTCGTCCATGGAGCTAATACGGGAGAACGTCACGGCAGGAATTAAGCAACGAAAAGAGTACATACACGTCTGTGCGTATGTACAGCCAAAAGCTGAAGAGTATGATACCAAAGGTACGGTCTTGTATTATCCTCAAAGAGACGAGCAAGTATTTCGAATTTTTATTCTTCCCTCGTTAACGCACACGACTAACCCAAACCTACCAAGAGTGTCATCTATTGGCTAGTGTTGAATTTAGATTCTTTTGTAACGCATAATATTAAGTTGGGCACAAGAGAACACTGACTGCAACAGTCAAGAAGCATTCCCCTTCAAGTGTACCCCTTGAGATCATTCTCTTCAGCTCCTAGCTGTATGTAACGCTGTATGTGTATGTCGAGTCCTTTATACAGATTAATTTATGATAAATTACAGAAGAAACCATGGGAATATAGAGAGCAGCTTTTTAAAACGGGTCGTGACGGGTGTGACATCACCGACGATCGTTTCGCCGACAATGTTTACATCGACACCGTTTCACCGACACGTTCAATTTCGCCGACAATTTTCCCATCGCCATCGCCATCGCCATCGCCATCGCCATCGCCATCGCCATCGCCGTCGACATCGACACCGACTCCGACATTTCTCTATGTTGTGTATACATACCGCGTACCATAACAATTTCTTGCCATCACGTGTTACAAGTTACACGAGCTTGTATCGTTGCATGATCTTTATTCGTCCAGTAAAAAAAACGGGGGTCCGGCGACTTTGCCCCGGTCGGCGGTTTGGGAGCGAAGCCTCCAACTATACGTATGTACTGCAGTGCACCTCGCAGCTGTGTACTTACATGGTTAGTCTGAGGGATGCCTATTGCTTTCAGGGGGATCGAGGGGACGCAGGTCCCCGCGCAGAAAGGAGTCTCAGCATCCGTATAATTTGGGACGTATGCTTTTAAATTTTTTAAAAGACTTTTCAGCTCAAAGCAACATAAACAAAAGTCAGTGTCGATGTAAACATTGTCGGTGAACTCGCACCAACCCGGAGAAACCAGAGACAAATTTGTCTATAGTAAACGTTACTGTCTATTCGCTGAAAAGATAAAAATGAGGTAAACAAAAGCACGTGACTGGGCCAGGACCGAAACACCAGTGAGCCATGCACCGAACAAATGTAGATAACAATAGAATTTACACAAATTAATATTTACAGTTTAGCAATCTTATCTGCGATACATGAGCAAGAGAAAGTGAAAAATATCGAGTAAAGTACGTGCCGAGACTTGAGAAGCCTCCTTTACGGCCGATACGATACATTCCTGGCCAGAATGACGTGTCGACAGAACGGACCAATGGGATCCCGATCTGTTGTTTACTTCCTTTTCATCTTCCCACCGAACGAATAATATGTACATTTATCAGTTTGCCGTTCACCTGCTTCTATTCGTCTTAACCTCTTCGTGCCTGCGTCCAGTTTCAGTGAATATTATTCTTTCCTATTGCGTAATTTACACAGTGAACAATAGTTTACAAATGTAATTCAAATTAATTAAAACATTACTCGCCTTTTCTTATATTTTCTTATATTTTCTTATATTTCATATTTTATTTATTTTCATTTTATAGTCAACGTTAATCCGGGGAAGACTTTGACGGAGGTCCGTAAATGGAAAATATATATATATATATATCTATCTATTTTTTTTTCTTTTTTTAATCATTGTAATTTCAACTAAATTTATCAGCAAATTTCAAGTTTAATAGTCTCGTCGAACATGGGTCCAGTCTGTACTACATTACCAACTTTCAAGAATTACCTTTAAAAGGTAAAGATACGGTTAATAGGGTAATAATAAAACCATTATAAATTTGGTGTCTATTGCAAATTCTAGCCCAAGCACGAAGAGGTTAACGGAGTTGTTTGACAAAATAATTTTCTATCCTGGGGAAATACATGTTTTGCACTGTTCTCAATTCTTTAGGGACATTGTGTGCACCGGGGAGCATAAAAATTGTGGCATCAGAGCTGTAACGAAGCCACGAAGGTTTTCGATTGGTAGGACGACGTTGGTGACGCTGCATTCTACCAATTGGGAGTCGGAACGCGTTACGCGTCATACATGCATATGTGATGTCACACATTTTCTGCTGTGGTACAGAGATGGGCAGAATATTATTGGCTCGTTCAACGAGATTATAATTGTTCATCTTCTATTCGAATGTTAAAAAATATACATATTTTTGTTCGCGTCAGTAAATCAACTTTAATAGGTACAACTAATTACAAGTTTCACCCTTTGATGCTACTTTGAAGCGATGCAAGACGATTACGTGAAAAGACATTAAATGAAAAGGTATAAACAACGATAAATAAATAAATGCAGTATAAAGTATAAAAACGAGTCGAAGAGAGTATAATAATTTCGTATAAACTATAAATAAGTATAAACAGAATAAAGAAAGAAAAGCTTACTATATAAGAGTCGATAAGAAGTTGCTTCTAATCGAAAAAAGTGATTAATCGAAGATAAGACAAATGTTTATTACTTCTACTTTGTAATAATTAAAAACTAAAGTTAATATAGAGTTAAAAGTAGAGAAAATTTGTTGGAGTGGCAAATTCTTAAATACACCGGTACAGAAATAATTTGTACGTTTAATAGAGAGGAACAAAAAAAATTGCAAGGTTAAGCGATGATTGTGCCGTACTGCGGGAGGCGTCTTAACTTGGCAAGATCAGAGAACTCGTCCTTGTAACGTGCAGTGCGCATACGCCATTTACACGGAATATCGGGACGCACCTAACCTTCTCTGAAACGGTGTACACAGAAAACCGCGTGGCTGGAACGGTGAGCCAGCGCGCAGGCCGAGCAACGAGGCAACGTCGCGTGGCCGACCAGCTGATCGGCCGGCGGCAAGCGGCAAGCGGCAAGCGGCAGCACGGGAGCAGAGGGAGAGAATCGCGCGCGCGACTGGGCTAATGAGTGTGCGACCTATTGGGAGTTGATTGGAGGAGGCTAAGCCAACGTATGGAGGAGAAAACAGTGGCCGCTTCTACGAAAGAGTGGGGATATAGTCATTGCTATGTTGCCGCCGTCACGTCAAACACCCGTGGGCTCTTGTTGCCATTGCCGCTCTGTTTTCTACGATCGAATGGCATTGCAAGGTCTAGGAGCCAGACGTGCGCCTATCTACATATGTACGTTCTCTATGCGGCCGTTTCTTGCCTCGATATTCACCGAATCTCGTTCTAAAATCTATTTTACGAACTTCTACACAGCTTTCGCTCTCATTTTTCGCGGTATTTGTACTATATACATCATATAATTGCTCGACGCCATTGACTCGAAAATCGACGAATTTTTATTTACACGCGCAATCTTTATCGAGAGATGGACATTTCTTCGTATGGTAGCTGCTTGCTATTATTATGTTTCGTAAATATTTTATGTAAATAAGAGCCGGTAAAATCGTGGAACGTTTCTTTAAAAGTAATTTCTGGACTTACATATCACGTTTAAAATCACTGTTGATATTAAACACCGTATGTTTCCATTTAAACATCGATAGACTGTATCAGTAGATAAACTTGTTCAATTTCTTTACACTTTAGAAACACAATCTTTGAAGAAAATCAAGCAACACGTTTCCTACATTAACGAACAATCAATCATTTATTGCACAAACATTTCATATATCGCACAAGGTATGCAAACAAACATTCATTTATGTACATTCGTTATAAATTAGTTAAACATGATACGGAATTATTCCGTCTATTATACGATAAAAATACTATCCCGATGCGGTGTTGTCACAGCTTCCGAAATATTGCAACGTTGCTCGTCGTTTTCGACGTCGTTGCTCGTCGATAGAAAGAACTAGTATTTCGCTGCTCCCTTCAACTGTGTTCGTATTCAGTGTGAAAGATGTATCAAGTGTTCCGATGACAAGACCAATTTTGGTGATTTACTCGAAGCTTGAATATTTCATAATTCGGTGCGAGATCCGCAAACACGTAACAAAAGTACAAATTACAATGCGAGGTACACACACAGACACACACTGTGTGAAATTACGTAACGAGATGATAGTCATGTATCGGAATATCAAATTATAGAAACCAAAGGAATATACTGAAAGATTATTGTAATCGCGAATGACGGAGCCTAACAAGATATTTCGCAGGAACGTTCTCGAGCCGCGGTCCAGAATTAATAATGTGACGTCAGACCAGTGATTTGTGACTAATCGGTGGTTACCGTTATTCCGTGCAAACGTAGTTGGTTACGAATCGGGAAAAAACAGAGTGGAAATTGTAGACCAAGATCAAGAGACTGGGAACGTCGAGGAAAGCGACACGACCGCACCACCCGAGTATAGAAACGCGACTACTGAGAAACGCTGTGCGGTTCGACCTAAACCTGACATACTCTCCCGCCTGCCCTCCCGTCCGACCGGTTATGCTCGTCTGTCGAGCCGTCATCTCATACGTACGCTTGGTTCTTTCGATCCCCTCCACTGGGGACTATATCTCGCCAATACGCCCTCGCACAGCCTGAAGCACGCGTCGCCACGGCATATTGCAGGAGCGTAACTAGCGGAACCACTGCGAGGGCGCTCCATGTCCGACTTGGAGACAGGTGCCATCCTACGTACACGATGCTTTACATGACCGTGCAAATCGGTACAAGATTCCACTGATTAAAATAGTGTTTCGACTCGCTCCAGATACATACTTGGACAAGACTTGTACATTTTCATCGGGTACGTACTTTGTCATCAACGTGAAATTTGTTTGATTCGTCGGCGAATACTTGATACTTGATACAAATCACTTTTCACCAAATATTTCTTGTCTTTCCGTAGAATTGACAAGTTTCGATATATGTATACTATAGGTACATATACCGATGATTACAAACGTTTCAATGATCATCTGTTGCAACTTTGTACGAAACGTTTAATAAATGATTTATAATTTAATTCTGAATAATAAAAAAAAAAAAAAAAAAAAAGATACGGAGCAAGCGATAGAAAGAAAAGTGTACAGTCCCGCGATAAAGAAAGTGTTTGACGACAGTTATCGTTGGAACGTAACGTAGTTTGATTGGTATTTAAAAATTCCGTGATACAAACTAAAAATATCGTGCAAACGTTTCACTCTGTCCATATATTTCGTTCCATTTGACATGATTTAACGACGAATACCCACCCGTGAGTTGTATTACATACAAGTACTGTACGAAGTAACGCCACAGGGCAGACCAGAGACCACCGATCACATACAGGGTATACACACACCCTTTGCACGCCGTAGTGGCACAGCCACACTTTGCCACATCGATTTTACCGGCTTGCTTGCACTCACACTCGGTCGACCCGTTCACTGAAGGAATGTCTCATATGCCTCCCTCCGGCTCCCTTTTCCTCTCCCTTTGCCCCTCCTGACCCTCCCCCTGTAAAACCTCTCCGTCAGTCGGACCGGGTCTCTTTCCAACTTACACCACCGTCCGTCCCTCTCCGGCGTGCTCGGTAACCTCTGTTTGCCTTCCTCTTCCCCGCTTTGCTTCCTCTCGATCTCTCTTAGTTTCCCTCTCGCTCCCACCGAATTTCTCTCTCTCTCTCTCTCTCTCTCTCTCTCTCTCTCTCTCTCTCTTCTCTGTCCGTTGTGATCGCGGAGCGGTAGCGCCGTCGCGGGGAGATGGATGTTGCACCTTTTGCCGCATCTCGGAATCTCGCGCGTTGCTCATTTGCCGTACATAGGAGCGGTGAGGAAAGAAGAGGAGAGGAGAGGAAAGGAAAGAGGGAGTGCGAGAGTAAGCGAGCAAAGGGAGAAAGAGAAACCTCCGGCTAGATAGTAGTTTGCGAGCGGGGGCACGGTGGTCGGACAGTTCCAGTTCCGTTTCGATTAGGCGAGTCCACGTCGGGGTTTTTGGCTCGCTTGCGGCCCGTGGAAACGTTACGCGTAATGCCGTTTATCGTGGCCATTGACGGCACTCGGTGCTGCTGGTGCTGGTGCTGTTTACCCGGCGAGCTAACCGCACGCCACTTTTACAAGTGGAACTGCACTGCCGAGGAAGACACGAAGTGAACCAAGCTTCGTGCGTGTAGTCGGAAAGATAGCTTACGTGCGGCGTTTAAATCGTTCGATACACGACCTCCATGGTTATGGCCATACCCGAACCAGATCGTCAGGGTTAGAGGAGTGTGCACTGTAAAATCCGCATGTCCCGATTCACTGGGTTCGTATACGATACCACTTGGCATGTAACCTTCCTGAAACCAATGCTTACGTACACTCGCGTAAGCGCGTAAATACAGACCGGAGACTCTGTCTTAAAAGCAAATCGCTGCCGGAGGAACGATTCCCCAGCCCTCTAGCCCAGTTCCGGGCACGGCCATTGATTCATCGATAAGGAAGTTTCCTATCCCTTGTCGGATTTTTCGCATGTTTAATCGAGCACGAATCAAAGGAAACGAAACATCCGTAAATCCCATCATCGGAATCCATCCTTTTAATTCATCACACGCAACACACAACTTTTCCTACATGACAATACCACCACCTACAATTCCATACATTTTTTCGACCTTCCGTAATCTTTTAATCTTTTCGATACCTATATCCACACAAAAATAAACATTTACGACAACCTTTAATTAAATCATAGCCGTAATTATCGTTGCGAAAACCTCTAGATTTCAAATCATGTTTAACGATTGATTGTGTTCGTTGTGTGGAAATACTTGTATTACGATCGGTGACGGATTCGATTGTTTCTCCCGTGGAATTCAACACGTTTAGGTTGTTAAGGACATCTCCAGTACAATTTCAAGATGGCCCTTACAGTTTGATATCGATACTCTTATAAACATTGTGTTTACTTTCGCTTCATCTCTTCCTGACTCCACCAAATAGATGCTATCGTAACATTTTACTGCGTCGCGTGATTATGTGTATTGTACTAGTATTTTCGTAATCATCTTGATCATATCGAGGTTGCGGTACACATCAATATTATATAATACATCTAATTTACTGAAACAGTAAAATGTACAATGTTTTTTAACGTTTCTTATAATTTGTCTTCCATCCTGTGACATTCTATTAACACGAAAACAAGACGGATAACAAGATCATTCTCTAGTTACGGAAAACATCGTATTAAGAATACGTAGCGTTAAAAATATTCAATGTTACGCTACAAGAATTCCTTATCTTCTCTCGCTATAATTATTTGTTGTCCATCCAGTGAGTAATTTACGTGTATCAGTTTATCGATCAAGTGAATAATACGTTATAATCTTCGTGAAATAAACACACAGAATATAATAATTGGAATGTAAACCTGCCGCATCGTGCTTTTTTTATGCGATTCAAAATGTACAATATTAAAATGTTGTTTAATATTGAAACATCAAAGTAATAAACTTTCTGTAATAGAAATGCTTTAACAATACACGTATCGATTAACCGGCACGGTTTTACTTTCGATTATTGACTGTTAATTCAAACTTGGTGCACCGTACGTAAAAATAAAATGTGTCGAAACAAAGGTGAACTCGTCGAAGATGTGTGAATTGGAAACGTGATCAAAGTTTTTTCAAAGCAGAGAAGAAAAGTTTCATCGGAAAGACAAGGAGTCGAAGCGTGTGGAACTTTTTAAACGTTTCATCCATATTTGCAGTGCTTTGCGGTAGTGATGTTTTAATCGCAAGCAGCGTGTGCACGTCAGTGACAGAGCGTGGAATTCGAACGTGTGCGTTCCGCCTGGCAAACGCGCAAACGCGTGACCGCGTCCATGAGGACTTACCATTAATCCGGGTTCTTAACCGCGCGCAGAGTAAACGTGGCTGACACGCCGCCGATAATAATAATAAGAGTGCGTAATTTATCGGGGTATCGACGTCATAAACCTGGTGACGTAGCGTGTCATCGGCGGTTATCGTCGGTGTTAATCAAAACCAGCTTTTGCCTAGTGGCTGTATTTGGTGCGTATGTAGAAAAGTATGTACGATAGGAAAGCCAGTTAACTAGCCGGCCTGACCAGAGTTCAGAAGTGAAGCAGTGAGTAAAACTGCCCCCTTGCGGTATGCGTTCGTGGTTCCCGATCCAACCACTCCTCTGCCATCGAGTTCTTACCTCCTACCCCCCTTCTCTATCTCTCATTCTCTCTGCTTCTCTACATCCACCCCCCCCCCCTCTCCGTTTTCCGTCGCCTTCCTTCTTCCCTCTTCTCTAGCCTCGTAAACTCCCTGCCCTACGTCGCCACCTCCCCGCATCCTCCCTCCCTCCCCCTCTCTCTCCCCTCTGCTAGGGTTTCCTCCATTTTGTCGTGATTCCTCTAGCTCTAAACATATATCGCACATTTTCTTCGTACGGTGCTATTGACATTTACGTACAAATTGTGCGCGAAACCGTGTCTATGGTTGACACGCTGCCTATTAATCCAAGTAGCAAATACGACTATGGGGCTCCGCCATAGGCCATCCTGGAAGGTGTCACTTTTCTCTCTCTCTCTCTCTCTCTCTCTCTCTCTCTCTCTCTCTCTC